GTTTGGCCCATCTAGTCCCAATATAAATAAAAAGCTTTTAACACATAAGATCAGTTTGTTCTGTTTGGAAGACGGCTTAATAGGACCAACTACAAAATAAGCCAATGTAGTATTTATTCCCATTTCACCAAGATTATGAGTAGATGTTAAAGGTACTAACCAATTAAAATATGCACAACGATCAGGTGTTTTGTGTGTGTTTTTGTCCTAGCCTTCAAATATCTGTATGTATATATACATATATGAATATATATAATATATATAAAAATATTCAATATACTTTTATATTGAGTGTGCTGAAGGAATTTTTGATATTTTTCTTCACTTGTTATTCTCATTATTTTACCATTTGAAACACATTTCCAAGATACTAAGCAATTGTACATATCTAATTCACCAATGGTTAACAATTTTGGTACAGAGCACACAACTGAGTCAAAATGAGATGTAATTTCATTGCTGCTAAGTAACTCAAAACAAATACTGTTTTGATAGATGGTATTAAGAAGATATCTCTCAACATTAATTTCAAGCACACTATAATAATTATTTCATTGGTTTTCTGGGACATAACAGCTACATAAATTTGGGATCAGACTAGGTCACACAGTAAGAAATAGAGAAAAGCTTTTAAAATATTGGCAATTTATCTGCAGAAAAGGACACAAATGCGTATTAAATCATAGTGTAGCTGCAACATTACCTGGAAATGATTTTTCATAAGTAATTTTCATCTTCCAGCTTGCATTCCATTGAAGTATCCTTTTTTATAGTTATACCTCAAAGCTTATTATCGTTATATCAAATTTGCAGAACCAGACGCAGATTTTATTAACATGTATTTTATAAGAGCACAAATTCACTCTATGAAGTGTTAATCTAGTTTTAAACGATTCTAGTATTCAACAATATACTAATGTATTTCCCTTACTACTTAATTTTAGAAGTACACAGCTATTTTGAATATGTTGAGCATGTCAAGAGTTCCTAAGTAAAAAATTTCTCAAGCCTTCGCCAAACCAACCGGGGAAAGAATGACAAGTAAACACATAAGAAATAATTTCTCTTGCTCTTAAATTCCCTGAATTGTGTCATCCAAAGGGTTAGGTTGCCTTTCTTATAACAGAAAATAACTCAATGATGGGACACTGTGTAAAAGAACTAGTAGAAAGCAATAAAACCAGTTGTTCATATTATCCTAAAATTTATGTAAATTGATAAAATTGAATGCAAATGGCAACATTACTGCTGAAATGGAATATATATAAATGACACATTATGCCTGAGATTCTCTCTCTTCCCAAATCATTATGACTGTTATTTTAAGAAATCTTGCCTTTAGCACCTGGGATTTAAAATGCCACTTATTAGTTTTACATTACAGTAGACCAGAACTCAGATTCTACTCATCTCATATTCATCAAATGTCCTGAATTTTTAAATATACAGTGCTCACCAACTCAAAGCAAAAATAGCAAACAAATAATAGGGGTAATGGGAGCAGGGAGTGGGAGGGGGGTGCACAATGAAGTGGGAGAAAGGGGACATCTATAATACTTTCAACAATAAATATAGATTGTAAAAAGTACAGGGGGTAGAAGACAGGGAGTAACATATCAGAATACGGATGGGAAGAGAAAGAGAAAACTTCTATACTCTTCTTTGCCCCCCAAAAAGGGAGTTCTCTGAAACGGGGCCCTGCCATCTCCCCCGTGTCGAGTTAGTATTGATAATTAAAAAAGAGATGGTTGCATTTAGTATCTACCCTACAACTTAACTACACAGCTCTTAAGACATGTTCTTTGGTAAGCTCTGAAAGTGTACATTCTATTAGTTTCCACTGGACACTCTCAATCTAGTTCTTTCAATACCTATTTCTAGTAAGTGGCAAGCATCCAGCTACTATAGACCTATCTTTTTTTGTAAAACAGAACACAGTGTTATTCAATTCAATAAAACAAATACTGGTTTAGGCAATAATTTTAATTTCACACATTTACAAATGCAGACAGGCAAGGCTTTATCCACATTCAATCATGTGAATTGTTAATCTATCATAGAAAAAGGTTAATATAAGTAACTAGAGGCCCAGTGCATGAAATTGGTGTGTGGGGGGGGGGGAGAGAAAGAGGGGAATGGCACTCAGCCCAGCCTGCACCCTCTCCAATCTGGGACCCCTAAGGGATGTCTGACTGACAGTTTAGGCCTGATCCTATTGTAGGATTTGGCCTAAACTGTCAGTCGGACACCCCTCTCACAATCCAGGAATGCTGGCACCAAACTGCTCGCATGCCTGCCTTCCTTCCTGATTACCCTTAACTGCTTCTGCCTACCAGCCTGATCACTTCCTAACCACGCCCCTGCCAGCCTGAGTGATGCCTAACTGCTCCCCTGCCAGCCTGATTGCCCCTAACTGCCCTCCCCTGCAGGCCCAGATATCCCCAACTTTCCTCCTCTGTTGGCCTGGTCACCCCCAACTGCCCTCTCCTGCTGGCCTGATCCCTCCCAACTGCCCTCCTCTTCTGGCCATCTTGTGTTCACATGGGGGCAGGATCTTTGACCACATGAGGGCAGCCATCTTGTGTGTTGGAGTGACAGTCAATTTGCATATTACTTTTTCATTAGATAGTATAGAAGCCTGGTGCACAGGTGGGGGCCAGCTGGTTTGCCCTGAAGGGGGTTCCCTTGGGACGTGGGGTGGCCTGGGTAAGGGGTCTGTGGTGGTTTGCAGGCCAGCCAGGCGTGTCCTCCTCTCCCCCCTCCCCCACCCCTCCCCCAGCAACCCAAGTGGAGGACCTGGTATCTGGGATTTACTTATCTTCTATAATTGAAGCTTTGTAGCTTTCAGCAGAGGCCTGTGCTGGCCAGGAACTTTGCTTCCTCCATCACCAGGGAAACCCAAGCCTCCTGTTCGCTATGTGGCCACACCATTTTTGTTGGGATTTATTTACCTTATATAATTGAAACTTTGTAGCCTTGAGGGGAGTCTAAGGCCTGCCAGAGTGTGCGGGGAAGCTTGGCTTCCTCCATTGCTGAGTAAACCTAAGCCTTATACTCTGTGGTTGGGTGAATTTGCATACTCACTCCTGATTGACTCGTAAGTGGGGCAGAGGTAAAATCAACTTGCATATTACTTTTATTAGATAAAATTCTGAGATAAGAAACTGAGTAGAATGTTGTATTTATTTTTATACCAGCTGGAACTTTAAAGATCTAGGGCCACACAATTTTAAAAGAGGCACTCTAAGATCAAGTTGGAGATATGAAAACAATATTTCTCTTCCCTGTAAGAGAAACAATGGGGTCCTGCTCCTAATCTCCAAAGACAGATATAGCTGACAAAATACAGTGCTGAGAACCAAGTAAGATGATAAAATTTAAGAAGCTATGGTTTTATTTCTCTCTTCTTCCCTATCAACTCCCTTATCCTCACTACTCCAAATAGCACTCCCTGAAGTTCCAATCAATGGTCAAAAAACTGGAGTAGTATATTTATGCAGAAATCTATACTTAAAATAAATCCTGAAGTTAATCACTCAGGGAGATACCTGTTAGTTACTAACACTTATCTCAGATCTACTGGATTTGAATTTCGGATAAAGTTCAAGAATGTGCATTTTTTATAAGCTATCCACAATCTAGGTGCTAATTATAGGAGATTTCTAGACACCCCAATGCTTAAAAAAACCCTGAATTAAATATAAGGAAGAAAGCAAATTGAATCTAGGTGCTTAGGTAGCAAACTCATTGAAAGCAGATATTAAATGGTATAATTCAGCTGTTTCTTTAGATATTAAATATCTACTGTCCATGTGATTAAACCATGGTGATTAAAACAACTTGTTTTACCATCCCTGGACTATAACATTACTCTTCTCATACAAAAGTTTTTTGTTTTGTTTTTTATTTTCTTTTTAGTGCTTCCAGATGTGATTTCATTTAACTCTGACAATATCCTATCAGTCAGAAAGACTGTGCCATAACCTATGAAGGTAATGCCTAGAGAGAACTACATTTCAAGAAAGAGTAATCAAGTATGACACACGATGAAGTCAGTGTGTGCCAGAACAAGAGCTTCTCAGCTTGTGCCGAAGAAACCCTGCAGAGACCCATGGGGAGGTGAATAGGGGCCTGGTGCAACCAGAGTCTATGGGCTTGTGTTGAAAATGGTGTCCAGATTACCCCAATGTTTATGCTAATATTATTTCCAAAGGCTGTCAAGGAATTTGTGAAGCACCAACTTTCCACAAAGTGTTGATCTGAGAATGAATAAAACTAGGTTCAACTCCTTGCTACCTCACTGCGTTAAGATACTTAATCCTTTTGAACCCTTAGCTAGGCTCTTATTTATTAAACTAGAGGCCCGGTGCATGAGAATTTGTAAGGGGGTGGGGTTTGGTGTTCCCTCAGCCTGACCTGCACCCTCTCACAATCTGGGACCCCGAGGGTAGGGTCCCTAGTCACAACTTCACTAACATATAAGGTTTTCCTTCTCAGTATCCTTTCTTGTTTATTTTCATCAGAACATTCACATTTATTGGTAATTTGCATTTATAATCAAAATAATTTCCAAAGTCTAAATTTATAAAAATAGTTTATTTTAAAGACTCTCCATAAGACTTCAACATCACATTTTCAGATATACCAACAAGAAAATCAGTATGTTCTGTATATTTTCATCCATGATGAAAGTTGCTCTAGAATCTATTCTTAAACCCATATATATTGTTTTTTGAACAGGGATGGGAAAAGCATGGTTTAAAAGTTTTAATTAAATATTACATAATTATAATTTCCCTATAAATCAAAAGTGAAATTTCCATATGGATACAATTTTAAAAAGGTTATAAATATATGTCAACTCACAACTAAAAGGAAACATCCAGTTTTTCACAATGTTTTAAAAATCTAGATCCATTATCTCTCTTAAAAAAAAAAAAAAAATCCTTCCCATATAAAATAAAAAACCTATACATTTCTCTGGTAATGCACATATTTACCTAATAGTAAGATCCAAAATGAGAAGAATTACTATCTCCAGAAGAGGAGGATGGAGGCAAGGGAGGCGGGGGAGGAGGGGGAGGTATCGAGTACGGTATGGGAAGAAATGGATGAGGTGGCATGTTAGGTGCGGGCCAACCCATGTTTACAAATGCAGGTGGTGGAGGGGGAGGCGGTGGTGGTAGTGGAGGAGGGCGTGAAAACTCATGCATGCCCAACATGGGAGGAGGAAAGGGATACAGCGGCCTAAGATTGTCTTGTCTCTGAGGTGGGAATCCCGCAGTTCCCTGAGGTACCATGTGCTCTGAGTTATAAAACTGTGGAGCGGGGGGCCTGCCATGGCAAGGCTGAGGATGTCTACCCCGGGAGAATCCCTGTGTGAATTCTCTGTTGCGATATCCTTGTGAATGCTCTGAAGTAGAGCTATGAACATTCCAATTCTGATGTACTTCAGCAAAATCTTCACCTATGAGCAGGGTAAAAAATAAAAAAAATAAAAAAAGCATAAAAACAAAATTAATTTTAACACATAAAAAATACTGTTTAAAATTTCACTAAAGTATTTTCTTTAACTCCCAGTATATCTTTATGGCAATTAAAAATGTGTAAGATTTAAAATGACCAATTTTAAAGCATCCAAAAACACAGAGAATCAGATAAGGGAAAAGTTAGCAAGTTAAAAAAAAAAATTTTAGACAATGATTACTGGGCTGTAACCAAACAGCAGAGAGAACATTACATATTATCATCACCCAAATCTCAGAAGCTGAGTGGGGAGCCTAGACTTTCTCCCGTAATAGGTTTAAGGAGATGGCTTGACTCCCACCAGGTCATGTCACAGCAGGTTGAATAAGGAGCCAGTTACAGGCCTCCTGCAGTAACTCTGGAGATCACCCGGGGAACTTGGACCTCTGCCTCCACCGCAACAACACAGGCCTCCTCCCTTCCTGCGCGGCCTGGTGTCAGAAAAGCCCTACGGGAGACGCAGGACTTTGATCACAACCCAGAGGTAGCGAGGCCATCCCCCACTGTTGTCAGGGGAGCAGTAATGACGTAGCCTTACCCCACCAGGCACAAGAGGAGGCCTGCACTTGCCCAGCAGTAAAAGGCACCTCTTGGCCTTTTACTCACTTCCCTGTCAACAGAGACTGAGAAGAAAACCTAGACTTGTATCCCTATCTGGTAGGTAGAGTAATGTGACACCTACTTCCTTTCTTGCCAGAGCAGTTTTAAAACCAAGACTGTTAAAACAAAAGATTTAAGTAACATATAGACATATAGGGTCTTATAAAATAATGCCCAAAATGTCCAAGTTCCAATGAAAAATAACTCCTCATACCAAGAGCCAAGAAGATTCCAAATTTAATGAAAAGGGAAAATTAATCAAGGCCAATATCAAGATGATACAATGTTAGAATTATATGATGTTAACACCTCCAGAAAATTTGACATATGACTTTTTGAAGCTTGCTGTACATACAACAAAATAGCAAACATATCAAATCACACACACACACACACACACACACACACACACACACACACACATATAACAACATAGGTGTAACTCCATCTATTGAAAAAAATCCGCATTATTAACCGGTACACCTGGTAGAGAACAGAATACTGGTTGCCAGGACTTGAGGAGGAGGTGGGAGGGAGGAAAGTATGAGTTACTATATAAGAAGGCAATCTGAGGGATCTTTTCCTGTTTTGGAAATGTACTGAATCCTGATTATATCAGTCAATATCTTGGTTGCAATATTTTACTTTATAGTTTTGCAATATATTACTATTGCAGTAAATGAGGCAATGGGCATATAAGATCTCTTTATTATTTCTTACCATTCCATTTCAATCTACAAAAAGTTTAGTTTTTAAAAAGGAAAGAGAATAGAAAAGGTATAATAAAATGAAGTGAATGTTAAAAATAAAGTATCTTGAGTAAAATAATAGGTATCATATCATTTAATTCTAAAAATGGAAGCCACTAGGTTTTTAAAGAAAAGATGCTAATGAGCACAAATAACTCTAACAAGGTCTAGTTTGTCTTTCTCCCCAGGAGTCATTTTTATAGCCTCAAGTTTGAACATTCCTTGCTTTAAAATGCCTCCAATGCTAGTAGGATAGCAGGAGATAAAAAATCAAAAATCCAGATATTTTCTTCAGTTTTATTACTAATGAACATATAAATATAAGCAAATATTTTTTTTAAATTGCTATATGTTATATTTACTCACCTGACTCATTAAATTGAGATTTAAATTTTTTCCGGCCTTGAATGCGATTTTTTTTTCTGTGTTTGGCTTCTTTTTCCTTTTCATCATCACTAAAATCTATGGCCTGACAGAGAAAAATATACAGAATTACATCATATGAATTTACCAATTCATAGTATATACTTAGAGATGAGAAGAATAAGCCTATTATTTAACACTGTCACTAAAAGATACTCTTTTGATACTTAGTAGTGGCAGTAATATCTGAATTAATTACACATCATAGAAAAATAAAGTCTTTTTTTTTTTTTTTTAATAACTGTCTAAAGCTCTTTATAGACATAGGCCAGTAAGCAGATGAATATTCAAGGTTTTTTGGTTTAATTCCTAGAAAGTTTCTGATAGGTAATTTTAAAATGCCGCTTTTACCAACTTTGAGATATGGCTACTTCCTAGCTAGTAGTTTGACTTCCAGTTTAGAATCAAGATTCATCATAGTATCAGCTGCCAAAAATGCTAAAGAAAGGATTAGTTAGGAATATGCAAATGACAAAGTATCAGATCTAATATAAATATAGGAGAATGGGCCCTGACTCAGTTGGCTGAGAGTTGTCCCATGCACCAAAAGCTCACTGATTGGATTCCTGGTCAGGGCACATATCCAGGTTGCAGGTTCGATTCCTAGTAGGATGCCTGCAGGAGGCAACTGATGGATGCTTCTCTCTCACGTTGATAATTCTCTCTCTCTCTAAAATAAATAAAACATATTTTTAAAAAATAGGGAATGTTATACTTCTTATTAAAAATTTTACACATACTCAATACAAACCAAGTACTGTTCTAAACACCATAAAGTTATTAATTTTTTACTAATATAATGTCAGGAATAGTAAAGGTTATAAGGCAAAATAAGGGCGGAGAAAACCTTGAGGGATGTTATTTAGAGAGGATTTCAGAAAAAGGATTTGATAAGCAGATACATGATGCATGATGCAATTTCCAAGAGGAAATCATTTTGAATTATAAGAGAGCAAGTCATAAGTAACTAAGAATTGAGATTCATTGTTATAACCCCCCCTCCCCACAAACACACACACACACACACACACACAAAAAAAAAAACAACTTAGAAGCTTTATATATTATGACTTCTATGCTTTCTTAAGAGTTCAGGCATTTATTATTCTATTAATATCAGAAAACAGATAATTATGTTTCTTAGAAAACATAAAAGCAGGCTAAGTGTGTATGCATGTATGTACATTTAAAAGGAAGAAATATAATGTATAGGATTTTCAGTTCAGTCTTGCTGAAATATATTCTACATCAAATCTTCCAGGAACCAAGAGTCCATAACCTCAGAATCCATGATCAAATTCAGAAAAGCAACAGATATAAGCACCTTCACATACCTTTACTGATCTTAATGTGATAAGATTTTTAAGCTCATGTGAAATCTGATATCTGCTGGGCAGTAGGACACATTGAAATAAGATGGAGAACATTTCTTTCTCTGAAATTGTACAGTCAAATGTGAAGGTAGACACATAAACCAATGAGCAAGTGCTATGCTTTATTTAGTGCTATGGCAATATGAGGCTGAAGGAAAAGAAAAAGGGCAAGGAAGATTTCTTGGTATGGGTAACCCAAGATAAATCTCTAATGATGAGTTAACAGTAAAAATAAGGGATAGGAATTTCCAAGGACTGAGAATATGTATAGAGGCTTAGTAAATTCAAGAAATGAGAATGGCTCTTAAGACAAACTGAAAGCTTCTTCAAGAGAAAAATCAGACACTGAAATTAGAGACCAAAAAACTTATTGTGCTATTTTAAATAAATGGACATTGTCCTAAAAGCAGGAGGGAGATATTAAAGGATTTAATTAGTAATAGGCTATTTTAGAGAGATAGTTTTGCCAATATTTTGCTATCACCTCCCTATAATCAGGTAAAACTTCACATTTTCCTTAAAAACAAATTAATTTAAATTTGCATTTATTAAACACATTCATTTATAAGAATCCATATATTAGAAATGAATATGAAGATGATTAAGATACATTCTCTAAACGTTTTAGCTCCTTTTATGCAAGCCCAACATTTCCTATTTGCACAGAATGATTTCTTAAAAAAGTTTAAAACCCAGATATTCAAAAATTAACCTATATTTAATATCAAGCCATATTCTAAACTATACAATATCATCATAATAAAATAAACTTTAGAATTTCAGAGTTTTCCATTTTATGAAAATAATGGAGTCAACTGTTTAGAAAAAAAAATACATTAAGTATGCTCAGATTTAATTTCATAATTAACCTAATCAAATAATTTTATAAACCATGAGTACAACCATAATTAACTTTAATGTTTCAGTCTGAAACAACAGGGATATATAAGAATATATACACTTCTCAAGAAATACCTTCTAAGACTTGTAAAGTCTTAAATATTTTAAAAACATGTAATTTCAATAATAAAATGCCCTATACATAATTAAGAACATTGATTCTTCAGGCCTTAATGGAAATCACATGTATATACAACATAAACTAGAAAATAAAACCCATGGTAATTTGGATACTAAACTAAGATTACTCACTTGTCAAATGACTCATGGTGGTTAAGTGACCCTCTGAGTGAGCATTGCCTGATTCATGTCTCAGCAAAATTAGACATTAACATAGACCATTAATCTTCAACATTGAGGATGTGTAAAATAAACAAGGTTAAACCTACAAATACCAAGAATTTATAATACTGAAAAACTTCATCGGAACTACTGAGCACATAAAACGACTCTCTATAATAATAATTTTATACTATATAAATTCATATTATTTTCACAAAATGTATACACCCGTAATTTCTGTATTTTAATAACTTAAAAATATGCTTGAACATCTCCATGGAAAATGAAATCGAATAATTCTACAGATTACCACTGATTCCATTTCACATCTCTAGAATGACTGTAATATCAAGCTACTTTGGAACATAAAACTAGTCTGGTTGGCACAGATTCAAAAAATAAAGTAAAAAACTCTTTCTAAAAAGAAATTTATTCTTATTGATTTAAGAGAGAGGAATAGAGATATTTCAGAGATAGAAATACTGATGACTAGAGAGAACATCATTCATCAGTTGCCTCCTCCATGCCACCTTCTGGGGATTGAGCTGTCATTGGGCAAGTGCTCTAACCAGGACTCAAACCATGACCTTGTTCACAGGCTGATGCTGCTACCTGAGCAAACCCAGCCAGGCAAAAAATTATTTTTAAAAAGGGAATTATATTGTAAAAATGAAGAGATAGGCAGATTCTAATAATTTTGTATTTACAAAAGAAAGAAAGCTTATTAAACATACCATTAATAAATAAAAATCTTTATGTCTCACATGGCTAAAATCACTAAATTGAAGAATAAAACATTTTTAAAATGGCAATTCTGCCGTTACCAGGTATTAAACTGATTAAAAATAGAAAATTGCAAGTGCAATGACATGCTAATAATTATTAAAATGTAACTGAAAATATCTTTTAAATGGTCAATAAAAAATTCTTATTGAAAGACATACAGCAGTAATGTGGGAGACAGGAGAAGGCATATGAAGAGCATTAAGGTCAAGAATGATGAATTTATAAGATTTAAGTTCTACCTTACTTTCTAAAATATTGTGCAAAAAGACTTATCCTTACATCTGGTGGTGGTTCTTGATCATTTTCCCATGATGCATCTGATCCCTTCTCTCTAGGAAGAGAAAACAAAAAGTCAAAGAAGTACTTGCTGATACTGTTAAGGACATATAATTTTACAGTATTAAAAATAATAAAAGTATCCCCTGGCAAGCATGGCTCTGGGTTAGTAGTTAGAGCATCAGACTGTGTACCAAAGGGTCACGGATTCAATTCCCAGTCTAATGGGCTGCAAGTTTGAAACCTGCCCCCGTCGGGTTGCATGCAAGATTTGTGTCTCTCTCACACTGATATTTTTCTTTCTCTCCCTCCCTTCTACTCTTTCTAAAAATCAATGGAGAAAATAACCTCAGGTGAGGATTAACCAAAATAATAATAATAATGATAAAGGTAGAAGACATGAGCTCAACTCTTAATTTGCAACACACATGAAAATAAAAGCTAAAAATAAAAAACCATCTTTTGTCCCTTACCTTGTTTCTGAAGATGTGGGGAGCTCATAAGAAAAACACATCATTTGGATATTTTAGGATTGGGGCGGGGCGGGGGGGGAGGGGAAAGCGGGGGGGGGGGGGGGGGGGTTAGAATAAGAAGTGAAGGCTGTGGTATACAGAGAAAAGCGCTTTTGCAGTTCACAAGCATCTCCAGATGTTATGACTTTGATTAATGCTTTCATGATACCTGAGCACAGTTGATAAAAACTAACTTCAATAAATGCTTATTCTATACAAACTATAGGAGATACACTGTTCCAGGTGCTAAGGACAGAAAAACAAATCAGGGCATTTCCTTGTCTTAAGATTTATGGATTTAATGGCAGTGATAACAACATTTTCCTCAAGTTACCTGAGGCATATCAATACTCCATGAGTAACCAATGCTTATTCAAACAACATTGTCAAAGCAGAGAGAGAAAAAGGCTTTCTATTAGTTTGGGGAGGAGGAGGAGGAATTTTGAAGATTCTGAAGGACAGTATAATCACAAGCATTAATTACTTTTAGTGGAAAGTTTTATACTCCATGACCAACAAAAGTATATATATATATAATTTAAGAAAACTAATTTTAAATCTTAGTAATCTTTTTATTTAATACTTTGACAGCATCTTATTATTTGATTATATTAAAATACTAGATGCTGATGCACAAAATTTGTGCATGGGTAATGGGTAGAATCCCTAGACCTGGCCGGTTATCAGGGCTGATCTACAGGGTGACTTCAGGGGCGAGGGGGTGGGGGCTGGTACTGCCTTGGCTGTCCTGGGGTCTGGGAGCAGCTCCTGCATTGAGTGTCTGTCCCCTAATGGTCAGTGAGCCTCATAGCGATAGGTCATTCTGCAATTTGGTCGATTTGCATAGTAGGCTTTACATATAGGACTAGAGGCCCAGTGCACTGGTAGGGTCGATAATGGCTGGTGGGGGCCAGCCAGGTACTCGCTCCCTTCCCCCTGCCCCCAGTGCCTGCAGCTGGCCAGGGCCTCCTTCCCTTCCTTGCCACAACGGGCCAGAGCCTCCCTCTTTTCCCCATTGGCCTCTTGCTGCTGGCCAGAGCTTTCCTCCCTTCCTCTGGCCGCCTGCTTCCAGCCAGGGCCTCCCTCCCTTCCCCTGGCCTATCCTGCTGTCTGGTCGAATTTTGACATTATACTTAAGGCATTAACTCATTTTTCCACTACTTAAAAAAAAATTATCATCATACACCTATGTATTTAACATAACTCTAATACACCATATATGCCATCTCATGCCCTGTGGTGCTTTTAGTTTGGACTTTAATGACACTAGTAGGAAAAGTGCCCCAAATAGTGCATTTAGTTTTGAAAATCAAAATCTACTAAAGAAAAGATCAAGCAACATTTTAAAAATCACTTTTCACAGAAAGTTCATGCATAGGTAGCTAAGATTTAAACAGCCTTTCTAGAGGCAAGTTACCTGGAGTGGAGCTTAACTTCTCTACCTCAAAGGCAAAGTAATTCCACTGAGTGCCTATGACAGATCCCAAAATGCAGTTTTGAACAGAACAGGCTCTGACCTCTTCTGAGGTCAAAGTGGTACCTCTGCAGAGTAGGCCTAATTCTCCAACTTTTTAGTTTATTATTTCTTTCCAGGACAAAATTCTTGTTTTTACAAATAAAAAACAAAGACTACTCCTATTATTTAAAATCTACTTAATAAATATTTCAGATTTTCTTTCAGGTTTATCTGTTAGAATTTTATATGGCAAAAGAAAAATATATGGTATATCCACAGCAACACCTTAATATTCAAAGCAGAATGAAATGCTACTTATTTAAGGTATGATTTTAAAATATATTACATAATCTTTACGGCTTTGCTATCTATTTAATTCACCTGTCTTATCAGCAGTCATTTAGAAAAATTAACTTTACACAGCCTAAAGAATAAGTTAGGTTTTGTAAAATGTTCCTTAAGATAATTATGTGGATTCTTAAACGTTAGCTGAATTAATTATCAGGAACAAAATTTTCATTTCTGAAATAATGAAATTCAGAGACTTGACTTAATATGTAAGTATCCTGTTTCTTCAAAAATAAGACAGTGTCTTATATTAATTTTTGTTCCCAAAGACGTGCTAGGTCTTATTTTTAGGGGATGTCTATTTTTCCATGAAGAAGAATATGGTACACATTTATTGTTAAATGAAAATAAAGGAAAGTTATTACTTGTATACAGTATGGTAGTACGGTAGTTGTCGACACAAACCAGACAAACTGAATCCTACAGTATCAAGAATTTACTCATTTATCCAATGACAATCATGTCATCATCATCTGGAACATCATCATAACAATCCAATTCCTGAATTTCCTGGTGAATCTCTTGTGACTCCATTTCTTTCAGAATCAGTGGACCAAATCTCTCATGTTTAGCCTAGGGGGGCCTTATTTTCGGGGGATGCCTTATATTTCACTCAGAAGGGAACCTGTAAGTAGGTCTTATTTTCGGAGGATGTCTTATTTTCGGAAACACGGTAGTATAGAGACTTTCTTATGCCTATTACTTTTGTCATAGCACTAATACTATTCACTGCTTAAGTTGTCTTTCTATTTCTTGCAAAAACCATATCCCTGATGTTTCACATATGAAAGAGACTGTGTGTCAAACTGAGTGCAGTCTTTTTGGATTAAAGATCTCCATTTTCCCTCCCAATGTTCTGGGGCCTTCTCTTTCACTTCTAACTTGACAATATTTTTAGTAGCTCATATTCATTACAACTTTATGAAGCATTCAACTAATTTATATAGAAAAAACTATTCTACTTGAACTATATGCCAATAGTTTATATAAAAATTAAATTACATACCAGTAAGTTTAAATTATATAAGCAGCTTTACAGCTAACACTTGGCAACACAATTAACACAAGAAAAGTACACAACCAGCAGGAGCATAAATATGCAGAAATACTACTACCCACATACTATAGGCATCATTTAGTGTAAGTTATAGACAAAATAGGAATAAGTTATTAAGTAAATTCTGTTTATCAGCATTTGACACACAACTTTCCAGTGATACATTTTAGTTGTCTCTTCTATAAGTTTACAATTTACAAGACACCTGAAATCTCATTTTCTTTTTTTCCTTGAGAATTACAAAGTTTCTTGAAAATGACGAAATAAATCAGGAATTTAATCCAATGAAAATTACATTTAAAATGGAAAAGAATTTTTTAAATGGTAATACTAATACTGAAGTAGTATCCTATATAATAAAGAGGTAATATGCAAATTGACAGTCACTCCAACACACAAGATGGAGACCCCCCCATGTAGTCAAAGATGGCCACCCCATGTGGACACAAGATGGCTGCCATAAGATGGCCAGCAGGGGAGGGCAGTTGGGAGAAACCAGGCCAATAGGGAAGGGCAGTTAGGATTGACCAGGCCAAAAGAGGGCAGTTGGGGGAAACCAGGGGAGGGCAATTAGAGAAAAACTGGCTGGCAGGGGAGCAGTTAGGCATCAATCAGGCTGGCAGGGGAGTGGTTGGGGGTGGTCAGGCTGGCAGACAGAAGCAGTTAGGGCAATCAGGAAGGCAGATAGGCGAGCAGTTGGGAGGCAGCAGTCCTGGGATAGGGCAGTTGGACATCCCTTAAAGGGTCCCAGATTGGAGAGGGTGAGGGACATGCCCCCTCCTCCTCCTTGCACCAGGTCTCTAGTGTATATATAAGAATGTATGTAATGAAAAATTCAGTGAATTAGAATTCAGAAATTTAATTAGAATTCAGAATATATGTGGCCCAAATATATTGCTACTAGTTGGAGCAAATCATTGTGAGCGAAATATATGAATGATCTCTAGCTGTAAAATTTGATAATTGTAACTTTCAGAGGTGTTATTAGGAAGGTAAATGAACTAAAAAAAAGACAAATACTATTTAAAATGACCAATGCTGAGAATTATTCCTAAAATATAAATATTAAATAAGCAAACAGCAATTAATATATATTTACTGGTGGTGGTGGGAAAAATTACTTACTGTTTTCCTGTGAATACATATTGGGTGAAGTCTTTCATTGATGGAGCAAAATACATAGTGTCCTTCATTTTAATACCTTTACTCTCAATGTGCTCTGAAGAATTAAACCGTAATACATAAAATGGGTGTGCAACAGGTCCAAATATCTCAAATATCTGTAGAATAGAATACAAAGGCCTCCTTTAATATATAAATAATGACTCAAAAAGCAATATTTATAAAGGAAAGCACTGATAATTGTTATAAAAGGCAATTTTGTTAATGTCAAAGGAATAAAATAATACAGTAAAATATTGTAACCAGGACATTGACAATGATACAATCAAGATAAAGAACATTTCCAAAACAGAGAAAGATCCCTCAAGTTGCCTTATTATAGTCTGTCACACTTTCCTCCCTCTCACCTCCTTCTCAACTCCTGGTAACCAGCAATCTGTCTAGTTTTCAATTAAAAATCATTCATGATAATGCAAGGGGTATTTATGATCCTACCCCAAACTATCACAGGAAAACATGACTGTGTATACATAAGCAATTTAGCTAATCTGGTGTCATAAAAAAGGATTTAACAATATTTTAAAAAACTATCAGCTTCAAAGATATAGATTTTAGGCTGGCTAATATCTGAGTGCTAAACTGTGAAGTGCTAAACTTTAGACAAAGCAAGACTCAGGCCCACCTACTTCATCTCAAAGTTCCATTAAACCGTGACTCCCTGCTCAGTCTTTCGATCTAACCAGAGACAGAAAGGGAAGGAATAGGCTGCCAGGGCAGTTTGAGAAACAGAACTTAGGATAGTTAATTATATATATTTACTTTAAACTAGGCAAGTAGCCTTCTTTACATCTTAAATAACAGTATATATTCTGTAGAAATACTCATACAAAAATGTAACCTACCTAATGTTTTATACTTGCTCTGTCATTTCAGAGATGGCATTCTAAGTGTCCTTCCACGTGGCTATAGCATTTAATACTTGCCATCTCTTACTCAAAGTATAATAGTACCTTTCTGCTACAAGACCTCAAAAGATTCCTGTCCCAAAAAGGGGTCACAGACACACAAACTACCACCAAATAGTACAGATATAGCGTAACATAGGCTCAGGCACCCAAATGCATTCCACTGCACAGACTGGGCTTAGATGTTGTATATGCAACATGAACATAGTTCCTGCAGTTGGGGGCCTGGACATGCACAGAACATAGTACCTGAGTCAGCTGGCTGGACATGCACAGAAAGCACTCCAAGGATGAGTAAGCCACATTCTCCTTCCCTCTCCACACACACCAGGCTTACCTTTTAGCCTAAGAGGGACTAGTTAACTCCCAGTTTCTCTGGGAAACAAGAAACATATCAAGGAATTCACAGGTGCCAAAAACAATGCCAGAAAGTTGTGCACATGAGGGGTCAAGATTTGCATGCTGCAGCTCAGAGAACAGCCTTCAAAAGAGTGCCTTTAGCCAAAGGCCTTACTGTGTTTTTAGCTGATGCAGCTTTTCACTCAACTACCAAAAGGGGGAAAAGAGAGAGGAATCCACAGTCATCCAGAATTGTGTCTTATCAATCACTGTTTGATTTCCCATTAATAAAAATGAAGAAAGTATAAAAGTAATAAAAATTAAGGAAGAGTATTGTACTTCGTTGACTAAGTCAAAGAATTATTTCAATCACCATGTATGTTACACAAGTTACTAAGGAAGAAAAAAAAAAAAACACTGTAGCAGTATAATACGGAGACTTCCAAAATATCATCACATACTACCAAGCAAACCAGTAATAAAAATATTACTTCAAAAAAGATCAGTAAAAAAATTTTTTTAAGTAATCTTGTTATTTGCAGATTTTTAATATTTCCTACAAGTTTTGTGTTATACTTATGTTAGTTCAGTTTTGGTTATATTATATTTAAAGTATCTTTCTTGAAATATTAATGTTTATTGGATGTAAAATTGTTATACTAAAATAGTTTTTTTTTTTTAAATCAGTAAAAATTCCTACCCAATGATATTTGACAGAAAAATAGATTTCATGGTTTTGGTTTATTAAAAAGTAAAACAACAAAAACAAAACCTGCTCTATCTAACAAACACTGAAAACCAAATATGCTGGAAAATAAATCAGTTTCACTAAAAAAGAGATGTTGACAGGAAGCCAGGAAGGTTGGTCAACAACCTTAATTGCTCTAACCTTTAGTACAGATATTGCTGAAGCAGCCTCCACCTTGTTTGTCCGTGTTTCAGTTATTTCCTGCCTAAAGGCTACATGTAAATTTCTGTTTCTGTTGCCTAAGACGTTTTCCCCAAACCCTTAATAAAAGGGGATGGCAGGGCCAGAGCTGGAGTAGTTCTCCCACTAGAGTTGGACTGGGGCCCCACATCGCCAAGTTGAATTTCTTCAAGTCTCAAGTCTCTTTATTTGTGTGCGGCCCTTCTCCAGAACCCGAACCCTGAATTGGAACTAATTCTATGCGGGCCGTGAAAGAGATTCCTATACAAATGCAAAAGAAATAACCAAAATTCATATTATAAAGGGATAATATGTGGCACAGATTGGCGTTCATTTAAAAATCTCCTGATATTAAAGAACTAAATATTAAAAATGAAATTCTATTATTTATAAAAAGGAATTAATCATTATTAAATAATTATTATGAAATCATTATTAAAAGGCAAAATGTAGAAATAATAAATCTGAAGTTGCTCTCCTTAGGTCAGTGGGAATGGGGAGGATAATAGAAGGGAAATAAGTCAAACCAACTGGGAGGTAAAATCAATTTTGTTCCTTTTTGAACTTCAAATTTTTGAGTAACGGGGGATAATTCAACCTCCTTACAGAATCATTTAATCTTTAAAAACTACACTGGTAATACTAACAATATTTTCAACCCTCCTCCCCAACTCCCACCATTATTTGGGGGAATCATTTCAAGGTGCTTAGACTTACAGTCAAATATTTTTGAAAGTCTTCTAACTTTCTTGAATTTATAACGCTTTCTATGTAAAATTTAGAAATAGATGGTGGGGGTAGAGGGGAGCTCAATTAGGAAAAAAGGAGCTATATTTAATACTTTATACAATATTAAAAGACTAATGACATGGCAATCGGTTGCTAAAATATTTGCTGCTATTATTAATGGAGAGAAATGGTGCACCTATGTATAAGGAAAATGAATGCAATGTGATTATAGAAATCAGTCATTATCGAACGTCGCAGTACGTTATTAATAATTATGTATAACAGGATATTATAATAATTAAGTTACATAATTTTTATTAAAACATTTCTTACATACCATTTTATTGGCTGGGCCTCAAAAATATCTGTTGCTGGCCACATGCAGCGGATGGGCTGTGAGTTTGTTATGTCTGGTGTAAAAATTGCATTTTTATCTGATTTCTTTCAAAGTCAATGACAGAAAAGCTGAATATTAACATTACTAGTCACAATTATAGGAATGAGAATTCAAATATATTGGAGGATATAAGAATGAGAATTCAGACATACATTGAAATTGAAATTATCTAAGTTAGCTGCTTAGAAAAATGGACAACTGTCATAAAAATCATAAATAAAAGGAATCATGGAAATAAACTGCTGAATTCACAGAGAGAAAAATAAATAAGTTTTCCCTTTCCCTCTTCTACTATTTTCTTGAGGACAGAAAGACATGTTTTGTTTTTTCACCAGGGCAGAATGTACTATACCAACTGGCAGGAAAAGCTAGTCACAGCAGTCATCTACTCATTTCCCATTCCTTTCCTCTCTCAACCTTCTCTAAGGTTAAGCCCCTAGAGTATTTTTAACTCCTTACAAGATACCAGCAGTACCCATAATTGAAGCAAAAGTATAAAGCCTAGTTATATGAAGAGGAAGAAAGTAGAGCATCATACTTCAGACATTTAAAAGTCTTTGTTCCTCTCACAAACCTTCTCAATAATTGCCATAATATATTAGCTCTAGACTTCAATTAATTCTCCCACTGATTGCTTTGCATTCCTAAGTGACTTATTTCTATTTGGTATAGAACCTGTCAACTTATGTGCTAGAATGGAATAAAAAGGAAAAGGCAGAGAAAAGGAAAGGTTATATAAATGACCCAATAATACAGTTCAAAATATGCCCTATTTTTCCGATTAACTGTAAATTATATTTCCTAAAACAAACAAAAAAAAGAAGCCAACTATTGCTTATTTAGGAAATACTAAGCTCCAGAAAGTTGCTTCTACAAAGAATAGCAGCTGGTTTCTTATTTGGTTTTCTACTCAATATACATTTACTTAGCACATATAATTTATGAAGGACTGTATTACATTCAATGGAGGAATACTGAGGTGAATAAAACTCATTCCAAGAAAGACTTGATAGGTATTTACAGATTTGATCCGAGTTTGTTTTGTGTGTTTTTTAAATCTGTTCTTATTGCTTTTGTAGGAGAGAGAAAGGAAGAGAGAAAAAAATTAATGTGACAGAAAAACATCAAGTGGCTGCTTCCTACATGCATCTAACTGGTGATAAGAGCCTCAACTTGGGCCATGTGCCCTGGCTGGGAACTAAACCAGCGACCTCTTGGTGCACAGGACAACATCCAACCAACTGGGCCACCCAGGATTAATTGAGAAAGTTTTATGTCTTCTACTGACTCCTCAGAATTGCATAACTGCTGGGTAAAATTTGAGGTCTTCCATATCAAGGATGAACACACAAGTTTATTCCACTACTAAGATGTTAAAAGAAACCTCACTACTTAATTATACATATATATATTAATAACCCATAATTTGAGAGCCACTACTCTGAAGGGGAATCACAAACCAAAAAAGTTTCAGACCTACTACATAGTGGAAATAATCTTCTGTACTTAATAGTGAGTACATGGAGAGTAGGGAACTGTGCATTATTCAATATAAAGAGCTACCTCCTAGCAAAGTACCTATACATGCCTATTTAATAACTCAATCAATAAAGAGTAATAAGCAGTATTAAACCAATATAAAGACAAAGTACTGATGAAAATGTACTAAGAAAATATACAATCTGAGAGCTACAGACTGCTCATCTACTAAAATTAATAAACTGTTTTTAGGGCAGATAAAGAAAGTTAAAAACACTAAGCCACAGGAAACAATAATTCGTAGAATTTGAAATTTTTTACAAACCTTCCCTGCTGTCTGCCGATCGCTTTTAAAAATTACAGTCTCCTCATTAACAGGAGGCAGTTTAGGCATAGATTCAATTATTACTGAAAAATGAAACAAAACAGATTATTTCAAGATTTAATCAGGAGGTAATATAGATTTAAATGAAAACTTAAGCTTAATATGAAATTTAAGGTGAAATAATATGCCACAGTAACTATTCCCCGTGGATAAACAAATTCTATTTATTTATTAAACATAGCACAGAGAAATAAATTTTACATATTTTTATTTAATACAAAAAGCTAAAATTCTAAGAAAGAAAATTAAAGTATAAAATCTTATAGAAAATTTGACTAACCCAATACAATTCAAGCATGTACATTTTCTAAAGCAATTTTTACTCCAAAAATGTATAAATTACTCACAAAACTCCTGTTTTAGAAGAAATTTTCTTTCTCACTCTAGAAATTCTTTTCTATGAGCACTGATTACTTACTGCTGGACATCTTGTGGTAGCCATCTTGTGTCCAGATGGGGGCAGGATCTGTGACCACATGGGGGCACCAATCTTGTGTGTTGGAGTGATGGTCAATTTGCATAATACTCTTTTATTAGATAGGATGCCATTTCCACTTAGAAAAAACATTAGTTCTAGATTATGAAAACTCATTCAAAGTATTCCAGCTAATTTTTCTTCCTAAACACTGATAGACTTTATTGTAGAGGGTTCCCACCTCGGATCCCACTTTCTTAAATAAAACAGTATACAGTATAAATCCCCTTTTTTAGGGGATTTAGAAACCTTTGTACATTATCTACAACTTAGGAACCCAGGGCAGGAAGGATGAAACTGCTAGGTGGACTTTGAATCTGTAAGCCCACATTCACCGTAAATATCAAGGGTGGGGGTGAGATAATCTTGGAGAGACTAGAGAGATCCCAAATCAGGGGCAAGATGGCAATGGGGGGTAGAAGAGGGGCAGCAACTAGTGCTTCTAAATCCTGAATGTTTATATGTGTGTGTGTATGTGTATAGAGGGAGAGGGTGAGGGAGAGGGAAAACAAGAGGGAGAGAAGAAGAGAGGGAGAGAGAGAGAAAATATACAAATTAGGTTGGGATGCCATAATGGGTCATAACCAGACAGGAGGATGTTGCTCATGCAGGTGAGGCCCTGAGCAGAGACGGAAAAAGGGGGGCCAGCTGAGCTGCTGTGCAGTGGGTCAGGCCAGAACCAAAGCAGAAACGTAAAGGGAAATGGGGGCCAGCCGGAATCCCCCATAGCCAATCGCAGCCCAGAGAGGAGGGTGGGCTCCCCACACCCTCCGCAGATGATTGCAGTCCCTGAGAGGAAAGGGCAGCACGCTTGAAGCCTCCCAGGCCTATCACAGACCAAGAGAGGAAAGGACGGGCCTGCCCACAGCCTCTGAGGCCAATCGAAGGTTGAGAGGAAAGGGTAGGTCCGCCTGCATCTTCCATGGCTGAGCACAGGCCCAGAGTAAAACATTGACAAGCAAGTCCTTTCAGCATAACTGGGGTATGATCAATTCCTTTTCTATGAAACACATAATAGTGATACACTATTTACAATTAAATAAGTTCCATATACACTATTTACAATTAAGTAAGTTTCATATGCACTGACTGGCAAGATTATTATGACCACCCTATCAGTATTTTGTTAGGCCACCTTTTGCCTTGAATATTGTGGTGATTCTTCTTGACATTGAATCCACAAGATGTTGGAAGGTGATATGAGGAATCTGCCACCGTGCCTGTCCAGTTCTAAGATTTGACAATTGTGAAACTAGCTGCCTGATGGCTTTTAACTTTTTCCCATAAATGCTCAATTGGATTGAGATCTGGTGATTGTGGGAGCCACCTAAGCAAGGTAGTCTCCCTCATGTTCTTTTTTTAAAAACATAAATCTTTACTGTTAAGATTGTTACAGGTGGTCCTCTTCCTCCCCACCCTCCACACACACATACTCACATAGCTCTCCTCCACCCCACTCCACGCCCTTACCCCACGCCACTATCTTCATCCATAGGTGTAAGATTTTTGTCCAATCTCTTCCCATACCCCTCATACCCCATTCCCCCTGAGAATGGTGAGTCCACTCTCTTTCTACGTCGCTGATTCTATTATATTCACCAGTCCATCTGTTCATCAGTTTTATTACTTGATTTTTAGATGCACTTGTTGGTAAGTATGTATTTGTGTCATTTTGTTGTTCATAATTTTTATCTTTACCTTTTTTTTCTTCTTAAAGAATACCCTTCTGCATTTCATATAATCCTGGTTTGGTGGTGGTGAACTCCTCTAGCTTTTTCTTGTCTGTGAAGTTCTTTATCTGACCTTCAATTCTGAATGATAGCTTTGCTAGATAATCTTGGTTATAGGTTCTTTCTGTTCATCAGTTTGAATATTTCTTGCCACTCCCTTCTGACTTGCATAGTTTCTGTTGAAAAATCAGCTGACAGTCCTATGGGTACTCCCTTGTAGGTAACTAACTGTTTTTCTCTTGCTGCTTTCAAGATTCTCTCTCTTTTGTCTTGTGGTATTTTAATTATGATGTGTCTTGGTGTGGTTCTCTTTGGATTCCTCTTGTTTGAGGTTCTCAGCACTTCCTGGACTTTAAGTCTATTTCTTTCATCAGGTAGGGAAAGTTTTCTGTCATTATTTCTTCTAATAGGTTTTCAATATTTTGCACTCTCTCTTCTTCTGGCACCCCAATAATTCAGGTGTTGATACGCTTAAAGTTGTTCCAAAGGCTCCTTACACCATCTTTATATTTTTGGATTCTTTTTTCTTTTTGTTTTTCTAGTTGGGGGTTTTTTGTTTCCTCATATTTCAGATCTTAAGGTTTGATTCATGGGGTCCTCTAATCTACTGCTGGATTTCTGCATATTCTTTTATTTCAGACAGTGTATGCTTAATTTCTGACTAGTCCTTTTCCATTTTTTGGCATTCTCATTAAGGTCCTTAAAGTTCTCACTAAGCTCCTCAGAGGTCTCATCAAGTTTCTTGGTGGTTTTTTGAAGACTCTTGAGTAATCTGATAAATGTGGTTTTGAACTCTATATTCAGTAGTTTGCTTTCCTCCATTTCTTTCATTTGTGACATGTTTCTTTGTCTCCACATTTTGTTGCTTTCGTGTTGATAAGAGTGGTTTTCAGTGGTAGGTGACCTATATGGCCCAGTGGTAGGTGATCTATACGGCTCTATCACCTGAGTTGGATACTCTTGGTGCATCCCTTTGTGGGCCGAGTGCAAAGTTTTGGTATAGTTAAGCCTTGATTGCTGTTGGTACATTGGGAGGAATTGAGCTTCAGGCCAATTGGTTGTGAGCATCAGCTGTCTATAATGGAAGAACTGTTGTGCTGGAGACAAGTTTAAGGGGCAGGACTTGTTTCAGTGGGGCTTTGGTGCTCACTGAAACATCTTCTTGAATGCGTCACTTATGTGAGGAGTTGAAATTTAGTGTCATCTCACACTGACCACTAGATACACTAGCTTCTGGGTCTCCAATGGGGTGCAAGTCAGCTACTGTCTGAAGCCACCCAGAAGGAGTAACAGTGAGAACTATAGTTTTCTCCTTTTTGCTTGGGGTTTGGAGGTTTTGGAGCTATCTGACCAGAGCTGCAGTTTATTAGGTTAAGCTATGATAGGGCAGGCCATTTATATGAAAAAGCTGCTGCATGGAGCTTGGGTGGGTTTGTATATTGTGCTGGGAGTCATTAGGCTACGGCGTGGCTAACAGTGATGGCTGCCAGTCATCTGTCTCTGCATCTCAGCATTTCCAAGTCCCTGCATCTCGTGCAAGAAAGCCACCCTCACTTTCCGACCCAACGGCAGACAGTCCAGCTTCTTTCTTCCCATAGGAGTTTGGGTCCCCAGCATCTCCCTAGAAACTGAAAGTTCAGAGTAATTGGGAGCTTGTCTCAACTTCAGGTTGAAAAAACCAAGGCACCCAGTTGCCTGCCTCCAGCCTGATTTGCACACCTCCGTACCTCAGCTTTTCAGTGCTTGTGCTCATCTCAATGCTCTTTTCTTTCCTTTTAGTTGTAGAAGTTCCATTCGCTCAGCTTTCCCATGGTTCTGGGTGATAGACGTTTTGTCTTTTAGTTGTGGTTTTGAAATTGTTGTGTAAGGTATCAGTTTAGGTATTTACCTATGCCTCCATCTTGGTTTCCTCCCTCCCTCATGTTCTTGAAATCACTCCTGCACAATACGAGCACTTTGACATGACGCACTGTCATGTTGGAAGAAGCCATCTCCATTGGCATACATCATTAACATGGTAGGATGAACTTGATCAGCAATAATACTTAGGTATTTTGTGCTATTCAGATGTTGTTCCACATGAATTAAAGGGCCCAAATAATGCCAAGAAAACATGCCCCAAACCATAACACTGGGTTGTACTCATGCATGTGGGTGCATGCTTTCATGCTGTTTCCGCCAAATTCTCACTCTGCCATATGTATGATGAAACTGGAAACCTGATTCATCGGACCACATGACTTTTTTCTAATAATCGACTGTCCAATCCTTGTGTTGCTGCGCAAATTGGAGACATTTTATCTTGATAACTATAGACAGTAAAGGTGTTCCATATCCCATACGATGCAGTGTACAGCTAATGTGCCTACAAATGTCAGGTGGTCATAATAATCTGGCTCTACTCAGTGTATTTTGACATTTTATAGTCCAGGAAAATTATATATAATGATCGGCAAAGTGAGAAGATGAAAAGAATTTTTAGGCTTTTAAAGATGTAACTAATTCTCTCTAGAAGACAAACCAATTCAAAAAAATGATGGTTTTATTGTGCTATGAGACATTAGCAAGATTGTATCTAATTTAGCAGTTTTACTTCAGCCTTTCATCTTTGGCAATCTCCTTTGGACAGCATTATCATCCTGCCAGTCCCTTCACTAAGTTAAACAGAATTTTTGCATCTGCTATTATGTATTTTAATAAGAATTATGTATTTAATATATGCAAAATTTTGTTTTGCCACAATAAAACAAAGATCATTTGATTCTTCCCTGGAACACAGAAAAGCACAAACTTGAATCATTGGTGTGGCTTAGGCTAATTTTCCAAATATTGTTAATAGAATTCATGTAGGGATCTTCACAGAGACAAAAATTCTCTCTTTCGGTCCTACATATTCAGTATCTCCGAGGAGATGCTGTTGTTTGCTTTGTTCTTTAATATTCACAAGAGTAGGTTGGAGAGGGAGAGGGAAAGGGAAAAGGAGAGGGAGAGGGAGAGGGAGAGGGAGAGGGAGAGGGAGAGGGAGAGGGAGAGGGAGGAGGAGGGGGAGGAGGAGGGGGAGGGGAAGGAGGAGGTAGAAAGGGAGGGAGAGGGAGAGTGAGAGGAGGGAGGGAGGGGGAGAGGGAGAGAGGGAGAGAGGGTCTGTTCGTGGCCAAGGGAAGGTCCTTTCCAGCAGTCCTGCCTCTGCTTGTGAGCTGCAGAGGAAACACCTTTTCTGACCTCTCATTGGCTAAGTTCTCAGTGTTCTTGGTAACTTGCCTAATAAGAATCCAAGAAGGTGATCTAGGGTTTTTCCACCTCACTCCTAGGGGAAAGATGAAGGTCCGCTGCTGGAGGAGCTAAAAAATGTTATATCCTACCCTAGCCGGTTTGGCTTAGTGGATAGAGCCTGGGCCTGTGGACTGCAGGGTCCAGGTTCGATTCTGCTGGAGGGCATTTACCTAGGTTGAATGTACCTAGGTTGCAGGCTCCTCCCAGGTCAGGGCTCATGCAGGAGGCAACCAAAAGCAGTGTCCATCTCACATTGATGTTTCTCTCTGTCTTTCCTTCTCTCTTCCACGCTCTCTAAAAATCAATGAAAAAATATCGTCAGGTGAGGATAAAAAAAAACAAAGAAGAAGAAATATCATATCCTATGAAACAGACATCTTGAAAATGCCTAAAGAGCCAAAACCGGTTTGGCTCAGTGGATAGAGCACCGGCCTGTGGACTGAAGGATCCCAGGTTCGATTCAGGTCAAGGTATATACCATGGTTACAGGCACATCCCTGGTAGGGGGTGTGCAGGAGGCAGCTGATAGATGTTTCTAACTCTCTATCCATCTCCTTCCTCTCTGTAAAAAGTCAATAAAATGTATTAAAAAAAATTGTCATTTTTTTTCGTAGTGAAGGGTCTGGAGTCTGTGTTGATGAAAACACCTTGGCGGCTGCAACGGCAGCAGCAGTGGGGTGATGAGGGTGCCGCCTTCCCCTGATCAGCCAGGTTGCCTCCTGTAGAGGGAGCCCTACTGACGTGGGGAGTGGGCTTAAGCTGTTGGACTCTGAGAGGAGGTAGGCTGGTCTGAGGGACTCCCCTTCACTCCCGTGCACAAATTTTGTATACCGGATCTCTACTACTAAGTAACCGATCACGAGTCAACATTCTTTGAGTTACATCTGCTTATAGGAATAAAGATAAGAACAGTGAGCACTAACAGAATTCATTCTCAATCATCTCCTACCTTTTTCCTATATACGTCAAGGCTAATAAATGTTCAGCTCATACTATATAATCAAGTAATTACCTATTTCACTTATTTATGCATATTATTAAATACCAGATGAGAGAAGTTAGCTTAAAATGCAGGTAGATAGGGTAGAGGTCCATGGAAAACAAAGGCACGTAGGGGCAGACATGGGAGTGTTAGCAAGCTTAATCACAGAAACAATAAAATGTCACTGGACTCAAAGCAGGAGGCACTGGAAAACAAGGGAAAGCCTGCAGTCATACGGTGTACAAAAGCATAGCAGAGAAAGTTCAGCATAGGAACAGAGAACAGAGAAAGAGCACATAGAAACAAGGAAAGCTCAGGTCCATTGCTGGGAAAACAATTGAAGGAATCAATCAATTGATGACACAGGCTTGAAAATATATATCCCTGGACTACAAGGCTTTAAGGGACAGCCCATTAGTGAGTCCCCCTCCCTTAGAGGGGAGTCTGAATCTGCTTGTAATAAATTTTCCACACTTTTGCTTAAATATTCTGGTCCATTCTTCAGAATCACAAGACATGACCCCATGGTTCACCGTTCCGATTATTAATAAGATAACTCAAAACTAATGTAATAATTTCAGAATCATGTACAGTGTTTTAATAACTATACTTTTTATTAAAAATGTTCCACTTTAACCAAAATTTTAATAAATTACAAAAGTCAGTCAGGTTTATCTAAATTTATATTAATAAAAAAAAACACTGACATGTTTTTAAACACTGATACTATTAGAAAAAGATCAAAAGATAAAGTCTCATTTCTACCAATGACTCGTTGTATGACTGATCATAATTGCAAGTGACACATTTTTCTGGGTCTCTTAAGTAAAATAAACTAAGGAAGCTGGTGGGTGATCTACTTCTTTTTTCCAGTTCAAAAATCCTATGACTGTCAATGCTGACTTCCAATTCTCAAATGTATCTCACTATGAGAGTTAATGGTAGCTATGTTAATTTCAAGACCTTTTGATACCTACTCTTGGAAGTAACAGAAAATCCTTAATGTCTAGTTAATGTCTCATATCCAATAGTTTCATATTTTATGCCATTAATATCAATATTATACAGATATTTATAATTTACATGTTTATAAAATAAAATCAAAGGCAGTAAGCAGAATAATGCTCTTTCCACAAAAAACACCCTAATCCTAAACCTGTGAATGTTACATTAAAAAAAAAAAAAAAAAAAAAAAAAAAAAAAAAAATTTTTTTTCCTTTGCAGTGTGATTAGTGTTAAGAATCTTGAGATGGAACAATTATCCTAGTACACATGAGGCCTAATCTAAGAAGTCCGTAAAAGCAGAGAATCTTTCCAGGCTGTGTTCGGAGAGAAGTTACATTATTGGTTTTGAGGATAAAGGAAGGAGTCTGGAACCAAGGAGTGCAGGCAGCTCTAGAAGTTGAAATGGAAAAGGAAATTAATTCTCTCCTAAGGCCTCTGCAAAAAAAATTAAGCCCTGACGGACCACTTGATTTTAATTCAGTAAGATCCACGTCAGATTTCTGGCCTAAAGAACTGCAAAATAATAACTTCACATTATTTTGAGACACTTACTTTGTAGTAATTTAGTAGCAATAGAAAATGAATAATGGTATACATCAAAGAAAATTCTGGAAAAACATGTCAGTAAAAGCAGACTTTAAATATTTATAAAGAAAATATATTTATGAATTACATAAGTAAAATTAAATTTATCTGTTAAAAATTCACTAGTCATAAAGTATCTGATTTGATTATTAATGCATTCCTTATATATCACTTTTATTAATTAAATTATTTACATACCTAGTTGTTCAATAATACTTGAAACCATCCCAAGAGGCTTTAACTCAATATCTTCAGGCAGAATAATAGTGAGTTCTTCAACTGAAGGTAGTTCCTATTATAATAAAAAAACACACACAAAAAAACACAACACATTAATCTTCCTCCAGTTTCAAGAACTTTAAAAGAAAAAATTAACCTCCATTTAAATACTATACACACTTATGAAGACGCAACATTAAGTACTTATACCTCCCCTTGGTGTAATCCATTTTTGTGTCTGACAGCATTTCTCCCACCTCCATCTAACCATTTAAATGACATAATATGTCGTGTCCACTCCCTAACCCTGATAGACTGAGAATATAGATAGACGTACCATCGAGATTTTTCCAATCACACTTGAATGAATGACCAATAAAAAAGAAAAAGTTATTGTTAAAGAACCTAAGATTAAGAAAAGAGACAATTCACGTAATTCCCAAATACATTCCCTTCGAAGGAAAAAAAAAAAAAAAAAAGGATAGTTACATTGGTCACTCACTAGTTTCTCCCAGAGGAAGAGTTCTGTCTTAGCTGTCTTGATTTGATTAATCCATTAAATTTACTGTGATTACGTTGTTGAACAGAGATGCAGCAGTATTTTATGGGGCTTTGTGAAAGAAGAGTTAAATATCTAGCCTCTTCAGGAAAAAATACAGAATTCCTGGAACCGAATGTACTAGTAGGCATCAGCCCAAGGAAAAGTGTGAGAGTGTTACTTCTTTTCTTCCCTCCCGAGGTTAAAAACCAAATTTTTAACATCAAAAGATTTATCTTTTCTGATCCAGCACCTAATTCAGTTGCTATAGAAACTAGAAATTGAAGTAGCGATGAAATTAAAGAGAAATCTAAAATTAAAACAGGCCATACCCTTTAAATTAAATAAACATACTAGCTTTCTTTCTATTCTTGACCTTTGCCAAAAGACTACAATTAATGGCATGTTAAGAGTTAGCTTGGGAGGAGAAAGCTAATTTCTGGCCAAATGTTGGAAAAGGTTGGAAACCTAAATAATACAGTTATTGCAGGTGTATGCATCATCGGTAACGATTTTCCTCTACAGGGACTCAAAAGTTTTTAACAAAACCACTTAACCAGTATTAAATTATAACTTGCTTCTGGGAGGTGCTATTTTCTGATCAAGGATTACTTATAAAAAGCCTCACTTAGGGTCTTAATCAACTCAATGCAGTAGACTCTAGAGGAATGGTTGTGAAAGGAATGATTGTGTTTTATATATCAGAACTATTCTGCACTTTAAGGAAGAGGACAACCACTTGTCATTTTATCATATTAAACTAGGCACCTGTTGCAGGAATATTCCTGCCAAGACTTCCGGCAGGCTTCCCTCCCGCCAATGCCACCTCTCCTGCCCCCCCACCTCTCGAGCTGCACTGGGCAGGGTAGGGTGGGGTGGGCCACTGCTGCCACCTTTTCGGCGACCACTGGTGCTGCCACCACTGCTGCACGCCTCACCCCGCCCCGCCCACCTGACCCGCTGCGCCTGCCACCACCACCTCGAATGCTCGCACCACCACTGCGCACCTTGTCCCGCCCGGCCTTGCACTCCCTGCCAGTGCTTTCCCTCCAGCAGCCACAGCCACCTTACTTCCACTTTCCCTATTCCTTCTATACTATCTTCAGTCTTCACTCCTCCCTCCTTCCACATATGCAAATTAACTGTCATCTTTACTGGGTTAATTTGCATACTCATTCTGATTGGCTGGTGAGTGTGACTTGTGGGGATGTTGTGTAGCAGAGTGATGGTTAATTTGCATATTACTCTATTATTAGGTTATATACGGAGAGCCTTTTCTTGGCAAGACCATTACTTGAAAGTGGTTCATGTGTGTATTAGAATAGTGAAGGAAATTCAGTTATTAGAACTGGTAAAGGACATGTGATATGAAATAGCCTTGTTTATAAAGTTCTTAGCTAAGGAAACCCCACACTCCATAAAATATAAGACTGGAAAACTAAAATGTCAAGAGACTACTGACAGCAGGGCTTTATTGATATTTTAGAGGGTAAACTGTGATATGGATCTCACACTTATTCTGGTTCAGGAAGTGGCATCTCTTACAATTGGCCAATGGTATTTCTAATGCAGAAGTATAGTGATGAAATCTGCCCTGTTGCCCATCCAAATTACAGTAAGATCTAGAGAAAAAACTGTCATTACATTTGGACTGTGATAGAACTTACTGGTTAAATAAAATCAGGAGGGTGCTAGTAGAAGAAAGGATAAGGAATTTCTGAAAGAAAAAGGGCTGTTAGATCTTTAATAAAATATCTGAACTCCACAGAAGTGCAGACCACATGCCATGAACACTTCAGAGACAAAAATCAATACTATTCTAAAATACTATATAAATGTTACTCAACAACAAAATGAATGATTCTTCATTCTGTATTTTCTATTAGGAAGAATAAAATCCCATGCAATGTAATTATGTTTTGGTACAAGTCTAAACTTGATACTGTTTTTGGCTTTTTAAAACTTTAAAGCATAAAATTAATACAAGTATCTGTTTTTATTTTAAAGGAAACAATTAGCAAAGAAAGATGCAAAGTAAAAAGAAAAAATTCTCTTATTCCTTTCAAACTCCCAATTCCTGTCCATAGATTGCAGTTGTTAAAGTCTTTCAAATATATCTACTATACAGATATAAACTTCACATTACTAACTTTAAAATGTTTCACTTAAATAAAAGACATTGTGACATAAGCTAATCCTTTTCACCTATCACTTCTTACACATCCTTCTATACCAAAACATAAATATCTAATTTTATTTAAATATTCTTATGGTATTCCACTATATAAATATACCATAATTTAGAACACATGTCACATAATGTAATACCTGTCTTTTTCAAATTTTACCAATACACACAAACAATACATATTCTTTCACATATTATCTTTAAATAAGCCCTGTGATAAATTCTTCTAAGTGTAGTAACTGCTAAATCCAAAGACATGAGCATTTTTAATTTTGATAGGCTCATTCCAAAAAGGTTAAATTAATTCAGACTTTCACAAATTATATCTATGAAATTTTCCTACAGCTTGCCATCACTAATAAACGAGTATTTTCCAGACTGATGGGTCTAAAATAATATCTTGATTTAATTGGAATGCCTTCATTAATCAAGAAAACTGAACATTTTTGTATGTGTTCTGGCTATTTTTATATATTCATGAATTGTTTGTATATTTTACACAGTTATCTTATATTTTATTAATTTATAAGGTAACTGAGTTTTTAAGAATGCCTGCTCTTTATACAAATACTAGAGGTCTAGTGCACAGATTTATGCACCAGTGGGGTCTCTCAGCCTGGCCTATGGGGATTGGGTCAAAACCAGCTCTCTGGCATCCCCCAAAGGGTATTGAATAGTGAGAGGGCAGTTCTCAGGTGACACACCCCAGAGTCGGGCTCCCTACTCTCTGGTTCCAGGTGCATCACCAGAGAACCACAGCTGCCAAGTCACCACAGCTCAGCAGCTCTTGTGCTAAGCACATGGCCCCTGGTGGTCATTGTGCATTATATCTACAGGTCAGATGGCCGTAGGCTTTTAGTATACTTATAGAAATAGATGTAGCAAATACTCACTCACCTCCCAGCATATTCGTAAGCATTTGTTGTTTAATGAACTTTAGCACATCAATCTTTTCTTAGCTTTTCGAGACTTGTGTAAATTACATTTAGAAAGACCTGCCCTTGATGAAATTAATTTTTAAAATTCAATGGTTTTCATTGCTCTTCTAGTTTCATTTTTAATATTTGCATATTTGGTCTATTTGTGATTTTATTCTTGTATAAAAGCAAGGCAGAAGTTAGATTTATCTTTATCCAAATTATTAGCCAGTTATTCCCATTGAAGAATAATCCATTCATCTTTTTTCCCTACTGATCAGAAAAACAAATTTTAACATATACTAAAAGCACTTATACATTTGGTTGGTTGTTTGTTTGTTTTTTTAATATATTTTTATTGATTTCAGAAAAGGAAAGAAGAGGGAGATAGAAACATCCATGATGAGAGAGTAATACTGATTGGCTGCCTCCTACAATCCCCCTACTAGGGATCTAGCCTGCAACCCTTGACTGGAACTGAACCTGGGACCTTTCAGTCAGCAGGCTGACACTCTATACACTGACCCAAACCAGCTAGGACTACATTTGGGCTTTTTGTTGAAGTCTTCATTTGGTTCTACTAATCTATTTCAGTGTAAGTACCAAACTATTTTAACAACTGTGCCTTTCATATTATGTTTTAATATTTGAGAATAAGAACTGGTTTCCCTATCCACCTTCACATCAATATTTATCTCCTTGGAATTTTTCTAGGTATTTGCACATATTTACTTCAATAAACTTTAGAACCAGTTTGTTATATTAATGTTGTTAGTATCGATTAAAATTATATTTAATTACAGTTGTCTTCCTACAGGTCCCACATAGTCCTTTGGTTTATTCAAAGCCATTTTGTACCTTATTTGCTATTATAAATTACTAAGTCTTTAATATTTTTTACTGCTATTATAAATGGATTCTTTTAAACACTATTTAAACACTATTTAAACACCAGAAAACATCATGCTGAATTTGTGTCTATTGATTTTCTTATGTATTCACTATATTAACATATATTAAATATATTTTATTGATTTTTTACAGAGAGGAAGAGAGAGGGATAGAGAGTTAGAAACATTGATCACCTGCCTCCTGCACACTCCCTACTGGGTATGTGCTCGCAACCAAGGTACATGCCCTCGATTGGAATCAAACTTGGGACCCTTGAGTCTGCCGGCCGAAGCTTTATCTACTGAGCCAAACAAGTTAGGGCTATATTACCCTATTTTCAAAACATAAGTACTCCTTCTTTCCAGTATTAATACATAATTTTCACTTTTCAGCATTGGTTGGTATTTCTAGAAGGTCAAGTACCAAGCAATTGTGATGTCTAACTCTTTATTAGAAACTTTTCAAATGGTTAGCATAAAGATGCATTTTTATTGGAATTTATTTCTAATAAGATTAAGAAAGAATTCATCTATTTATTCCTATCTTATAAGTTTTATTTTTAAAATCAGAAATGACTACTGATGTTTGTCAAATGCTTTTTTATCATCTTATGAGATCATTATAATTTACTCTGAGCTGAGCAGGTCAGACTATACGGTCTGATAAAGTCTCTGCTCTAAGGATGTTATGAAACATCCAGCACGGGGAATACAGGGAAGATGCACAAAGCCAGGATATTTGTATTGTGTAGGGACTGAAATTTATGGTCAAAAACAAACTGGCAGGCCCCCTAAATTCCTGTTGCTACCCTATTTTGACCAATGTATGAACAGAAATAAAAGTTTTGCCTACAAGCAAGGAAGATCTCTGATTTCATATAGAACCAAACTTAAGGGGGAAAACACATGCACTGTGATCTGTGATCACAATACTCTTAATTCCAGTTCAATTATCCCAGTAGGTTCTTAACATATGTATATACACTTTCCTGAGCATTTCTAAAAGAAGCCAATGAAGGCATTATGTTGCCTTTTAATAGTAACAGACCTACCTATAAAAGTGTTGTGCATAAAATCTCTATCCAAAATACCTGTACAACACAAAGCTATATAAAGAACTATATATTGTACAAGAAACATGTCCAACCTGTGTGGGATTAATAAATGAAACCAAGCCTGTACAATTCCAGGTTGAAAGCCTGTTAGAGTTTGCCCTTGAAAGTCCAGTTAAATCAAGCAGAATATTATATTTAATTTGAAAATGGCAGACATTTTGGGACCAACCAAGGGAGAAAAGATACATTTGTTTCTTTTAAATGAGCATGCCAGAAAAGTAGGACAAATGAGGAAAAATATCCCAAACTCCATCAAGAAATCACCCAAGCGATGTGCTTTCTACAAAGATTTGTGGCAGGTTTAGAGGTAGAACTTTAGAAGATTCAAAGGGAAAGTTCCTGGATTGCCATGTCAAAATGGGCAATAAAAGATCTTGTATTGATGTTTGGATGTCAAATATCACCTTCTCTTCTCTAATTGCTAAATCTGAACCACTACACCAATAAGACTGGTCACTCTATCAAATTATCCTGCTGCATTTCTTAAAGTCAATTTTCCTAACTAGACAACAAATCCAACAAAAATGTAACCTGGCCAGTCTTGGGCCTTGCTATAGAATCCAGGACAATGACTAACACAGAAGAGGTTTGTGGTATATATTTACTAAATAAATTGACTTATTTCATTAGTCCATGTTAACAAAATCTCAAAGAGATCAGTCTTTTCAGTCAAAGCAAAAATCAGATATGGAAAATACAATTCTCAGAATTCAAGAGAATTCTTGAGGAACAAAAAGAACCTAAACCTAACATCTCAAAAATAAAGTAAAATAGGCAAGCTTGGAAAGAAGCTTTAATGCCCAGAACTGTTAAATAGATAACTCATATTTACTGCTTTATTATAATTATAATTATAATAAAGCAGCAAACTTTATTATAATTATCAGATTAACACCTGGCTCCCTGGTAACACAGCAGCTGCCTTAGGTAAGATAATAAATAAATTGCCTCAGTCTCATAGGTCTCATAATCTCCTTAAGGAAATAAAAAAACCAATCACTTTGATTTTCTGTGAGTGAGGAAAGGATGTGTATGTGTAACAGAAGAGAAAAGGAGAAACAGATAGACTCCAATACAGAAAAAAATTTGGCAAGAGCACTACCATTTTGACAATGCACATAGAATCTAACATAAAGAATCAGAAATAAAATGCACACAGATGAACATAAAGAATCAGAAATAAAATGCACACAGAAAATTACAGGGAGAGGTGGAGGGAAACTTAGAATAGAAAAAGTTTCATCATCATATAAGTAAAAATCAAACTTACTGAGAATAACAGAATAAGTCTATTTATTGAAGGTGAAATTTAAAATATGAATTTACTACCCTGATGGAAAGATGGATGAGTGGGTGGGAAAAACTAATTTTATTCTGCTTATCCAATACTAGACACTATATTTATTTAAATTTAATTAATTAAAATTAAATAAAATTTAAAATGCACTCTCCAGTGACACTAGCCACATTTCAAGTACTCAGTAGCATAAGACAAAAGGCTTAAGAACACATTAAGTCAGAGTGGATTTCTATCATTGGAGGAAGACCTACCTATTGGACAGCACTGCTTTATACTGCCACACATCCAAAAGTCCTCTATTACAAAACATAACCAGGTATGAATAGCACCAATCTATTTTCAGTCATTAATACAGGTATAATTTTAAGAGCACATTATAACAGTATACACCATATAGCTATGAAGTCTTAATGCTAACCTGATTATTCCACTTGGGAAACAAAGATTTTATTTTCATAATTGTTATTTTCCAAAATTAAAATGAAACTAAATATGTTTTTATGTACAGTACCTGCACAGGTAAATATCTATGCTATCATTTAAATAAAATTAATATGTTTACAGACTCAAACATCAAGAGCAGAAATAATTTTTCTGGACATACTCAACACTTCTATATACAATAGTAACAAAGAGTAGGCAACTAAAAGAAGAAAAATATTTCATTCATATCATCTGCAAAAGAAAAGGCCATGGAAACAAAAATATCCAGACACATATAGCATTTGGCAAATGAATACTGGAATTCAACATAGTAAAGCAATCCAATTAATTTTCCTAGATGCTCTATAGTTCCAATTCAAAGGCTTTATTAAGAGGCAATATGGCCCAAGCAAATACAATTTTAGAATGCTTTTATTAGATGATACAATCATCCTTCACATGATAAGATATGCAAAATATATATTACTAGTGGCCTTTAAAAACATATTGTGATGTTAAAAAAAAAAATACAAAATTGAAAAGTAAAAACTATAATTGCTCTTCCATCCTTCCCAAAAATCCCTCAGTACTGGCACATAAAGGAAAGAACAAGCCATTGTTCCAAGTTTTAATAGCTAACACATATTCCCATCTAAAATGTAATTTTCTAATATGAGCCAAAATACACTCGCACAATTCATTAACACTTTCCATAATTACATTCGTCTCTTCTTTATTTATTGACGGTTTCTCTCCAATGAAAGCAGAAACTCCAATGAATATAGCACCTAATACATGGCAGGTGTGCTATAATAGTTTAAGAATGAATGAAAGATACCTATCCACTCATTATTCATTCTATTACTACTGACTGAGAACCCATTACCTGTATAGCACTCTACTGGGCATTACAGAATCTATAAAGATCAGATATAAACTTAGTCTGTCAAAGAACATGGTTCCTAGCCTCTTTGTGACTGTGGACCCTTTTTGAATTTCTGATGAAGATATGGTCAGTCTATCTAGAAAAATAATAACTAGACTAAGATTTTGAATTAAATTTTAAGATAGTCCTAAGACAAGTAATACAGATCTAGTAAGAAAATTAAGACAATATACATACATATACAAAAGTACTGTGGTCTTTTATTGTTGATTTTTGTACTCTAAGAGAAAACTTAGGTGTAAAGAAGAGCAAGATACAGGGGAAAGATCACATAATTCTCCCAATACTTTCAGAAAATAGTCAGTTGGGAGAGCCTTTGTGTAAAAAGACCACTGATGTCAATAATTGCAACATTAAAACTTCATTGCTAATGAAGTTGCAAAAGCACCCTAGGGTTATATATATATATATATATATATATATATATATATATATATAAGCATTAGTAAGATTATGATTTTTATTGTGTGTGGAGAAAAAGAAACAATATTAGTTGAATTCAGTCATGCAAAGGTGCCCAACAGCCTCTAGGATTTTCAATTTTCCCCCCCTAAATTTTGCAGTAAACTACTTCACTCACTTGTTATGTAATAATTATAATTAGTGATCATTAAATACTGAAAAAGCTCTAATAATAACAAAGGACAGGCGGGAATAGAGAGAATAAATATGTGACAATGTAGCCTATGTTCTAAAATTCTGATATGTCCCTCTTGAGGTTCCCACCACCAGACTACCGTCCTCCTCCTTGGAAGAGCTTACAGTTTAAGAGAAAATAACCACACAAGAGCTAACCTTACAAATAAAACCTATTAAGTGCCAAAAACATCATCCTATAACAAACAAGTTTTCTGTTACTGTAACAACAAAAACACTTCAAAAACTCCAGTAGAAATCCTAATAAGCTCAATCATTTATTTTCAATTTCTATGTTTCTTAGTGCAAGTCAATTAAAATATTGATTTTAATTGTAACCAAGCAAAAAGTTTTAACTTATGGAACAAAAAAGAAAAAGAAAAAAAAGCAAGGTTGTAAATTTACATAAGAAATATCTTCTAGGGAAGATGGAAAAAAAAAAAAAAGTAAAGTAGCAAGCTAAAGTTAACACCCCAGAAGAACAATTACTAAATGCTAAAGTTAGAAGCAACCTTAGAAATTATCCAGATCAATCCTCTCTTTTAGTTAAGAAAAGAAAGGCATGGCAAAAGTATGCCCAATAAAATTTAGAAATTTTCAAATGTATGGATAAGATACAGAGCAAATGAGGTCAATATTAGTATCATAATATATTTTAGAACATCCAAATTAGGTTAATTAACAAATCTAAGTACTTACGTTAAGAAGTAATTCATCTTTTGTTTTAATAAGAGGAAAATTCTTATTTCCCTTCTCAACTTGTATATCGTCATCTCCATCTGACAGCACTGGAGGAACTAACATTCGAGAGGAAGAGGAAGAAGAGGATGATGATGAGGAAGAAGAAGAGCTTGAACTATCTGAATCTGTTTCACTGTAGGAAAGGAAAAGTTTAAACTTAGTAAAAGAGTAACATGATGGCATTAACATATATTTATTCAACTAGAAAATATCTACTTTACTACATGTTTACTGTTACTGATATAATTCAAAAGCTAGCATTTTGAAGTTGACTGTGGTATCTGGAAAGTAGTCCTTAATCCACTGATAACATTTTCAAAACTCCTGCTATGACTGCAACCCAATTACACACATCACACATCTGTCATTAATATAATTAAGCATGTGCCAAATCACTGACAGAGAACTCTGGGCAATGTATTTCTCTCATTGCTCACTTTCCATCTTAATTGCCATTTAATTGCCAATAGTTTCTTCTCAGTCTTTAGACAACTTGGAAACTCAAATTAGCAATCATGTTGACCATTCTATTCTTTGTAAACTCCTTTAGCCCCTGACTTCCACAGAAATTCTTGTTACCAGTAACCCTACTCTAAGTTTAAAATTTGTTGCTGACCACCCCCTTCACTCCCTTTTGTTTATTTAACCCTCACCCATGAAGAAAGGATATTTGTTTCCAATGATTTTTTAGAGTGGAAAGGAGGGAGGAGGAGAAATACTGATATGTCTCTGTCACATATTTTGATTGCCTCCCACGTGTGGCAGGAATCAGACCTGCAACCCACATACGTGCCTTTGATCGGGAATCAAACCCACCCCCTTGGATCACAGGCTGACATACTAACACTGAGTAATGCCAACTAGGGCTCCTTCACTTCCTTTTATATGCTGTTTCTATACTTATTCTCCTCTCTCTCTACTCTTCCTATGGATAATTTCATGCCCTACAATGTTTGCAATTATCATCCATATGCAGATAACTCCTAAATCTTCAGCACTGATATCTCTAACTTCATCCCTAATCTCTGGCTACATACTAACCACCTCTGTATGAATGATCTAGTTACCCTCCACTAGCAACAAGTTAACAGAAAAAAAAAAGTGCTTACTAAATTACTTCACTTTGAGTTTCTATTTTATTTATTGCTTGGTCTTTAATCCAGTCACTATAGGTAGAAACCTTGGAATCATTCTAAGCTATTGCATTCTCAGTCAATGACAAAATCCTATTTTCAGATTAGTAAATATCACTTCAATTCCACTTCATCCCATTTCCATTGTCAATCCTCTATTTCAAGTGCTTATTTCTCACCTGCTTTTCTGTAATAATTATATAAATGATGTAAATACTAGTCTCTTCCCACAACAATCACCCCTTCACCCTATTGATGTTTTGCTGTTTACCCTTACCATTTCATGACTTTCCATCTTAATCAGTTCACACTCTTGCTTTAAAAAAATCATTTATGCTCAGTTGGTGTGGCTCAATGGTTGAGCCTGGACCCATGAACCAGGAGGTCATGGTTGGATATCAGTAGGAGGCAGCCAAGCAATGATTCTCTCTTATCATTAATGTTTCTATCCCTCTCTCCCTCTCCCTTAAGAATAATTTTTTTTATTTAAGACAAATAGAAAACATTCATGTAATCCCTATGTTCACTGCAGCCTTATTCACAGTGGCCAGACAGGAAAAAAACTGAGTGTCCTTCAATAGATGATTGAAAAAAGAAGATGTGGTATATACATACAATGGAAAGCTACTCAGCCATAGCAAAGATGAAATACAGCGATTTGTAAGAACATGCATGGACCTTGAGGATATCATGGTAAGAGAAGTAACTTAAACAAAAAAAGTTAAGAAACACATAATTTCACTCATATGTGGGATATAAAACTTAAAGCAACAAATGAACAAACAAGAAAAACAAAACTCATAAACACAGATAACAGTATGGTAGATACCAAAGAGAAGGCGGTTTAGAAGATAGTAAAGGATAAAGGTTTCAAATATATGTTGACAGAAGATGAGCTGACTTTGAGTGGTGGGCACACAATGCAACATAATGATTGTGTAACACAGAACTGTACACTTGAAACCTATATAATCTTAACCAATGTCATCTAATAATTTAATAAAAATAAATAACCATGCATGACTGGACATTAGATATGAGAAAACTATTATTAACTAGTGGCCCTGGTTAGGAATCCCTGCGCAAGTAGCTCACTGCCACGTGCCTCAGCTGGCTGCCCCGCCCATCACCTCTCCCTCTGTATCTCTCCACCACACATAGCTTGCTGTCCCGCCATCCTGCTGCTCTCCGGAAGGATCATGGTATAACCACCATTTGCATATTACCTCTTTATTTTATAGGATTATGTTACATGTGATAATGATTATGTAAAAGAGTGTCCTCAAAGAATGAGTGCTAAACTATTTAGGGATAAAGTATCATGTGTAAATAAATGACTTTAAAATGGCTCAATAACATAGATGTGAATCTAATAGTTCTGAAATGTTAATAATTGTTAAATCAAGGTGATGTCTTTATGGGTTTAAACCATTCTTCCTATTTTTTATTGAGAAAATATTAAAACTGAGAAAAACCTTGAATTTTTTCCCATAATCTACACTGTGTACAAGCAAAAAGCCATACTCCTTACTATGACAACTCAGAGCCCCCTGCAATCAGGTTCCTGGTAATCTACATAATCCCATCTCACACACAGCTAGCAAAGAAGCTCATACAACTTTCCCTTTATTTGTGCTATTTCCTTTGACTACAATGCACTCAGTGTAGAGAAATTATTTTTTCTTTATAGGCTCAACTCAATATTTCCTCTTCTGAAGACACCCCTCTCCCAAAATACAACTATATACTTCCTTCCCTATTTCTCGTGGCACTTTTTTCAAACTGCCCACTAGAGCCAGTCCAATAGTTCAGTGGTCGGCAAATTGTGGCTCACGAGCCACATGTGGCTCTTTGGCCCTTGGTATGTGGCTCTTCCACAAAATACCACAGCCTGAGCGAGTCTATTTTGAAGTGGCGTTAAAAGAAGTTTATGTTTAAAAATTTGGCTCTCAAAAGAAATTTCAATCATCTTACTATTGATATTTGGCTCTGTTGACTGAGTTTGCAGACCACTGCCATTGAAAACCATGTCTTCCCGGATGGATTAGAAAGGGCTTGAAAACAAAACATTAGCTTTGGCAAATGTTGTCTTTTCTCCTGGTACAGGGAAAAGGGCAAAGGCCAACTCCAGAACACATCCCATTTACAACTGAATTCCTTCCTACTGTTACTGTATTATGAATCGGTCCCTCTATCCCAGAGCAGTCCCATCAGCATAGCAACATTCTGTAGTCCCTCTGTTTAATCCCTCCAGCTATGGACTCATTTCTCCACTTAAAATTTCTTAAAAGAACTGTTAACAGATGCTGTCTCTAATCCTTTATTTCTCACTCAATCTTTACCCCAAAATTGGCTTCCATCATCATCACTCCTTAAAAGGTCATCAATATTCTCCACGTTGCCAAGTCCATTAGACACCTTCTGTCATTTTAACTTCTCAGCAACATCTAACATGGTTCCTCACTCACTTCCTCAAAAATTCCATTGTTTTGGAATGCACTATGCTACAGGGGTATTCCACTCTCATGTACAGTCTTTGTGTTCATGGCTTTAAATATGACCTTCACTTAAAAAAAGACCTGAGACACATAACACTCAAATGCACAGTTTGAACCTTGTTAAAATTCTAATTCAAATAATCAACTGTTAAAAGACATCCTTCAGACAACCAGAAAAATCTAAATACAAAACAAGCATTAGATGATATTAAGGAATTAGAATTAAGTTTACTAAGGTTGATAATGACATAGTGGTTATGTAAAAAGTGTTTTATCAATTAGAGATGCATAGTAAACAATTCACACTGAGATTTGCTTTAAATCTATTAGGTTAAAAAAAGTTAGAAATGTTAGATAAATATGGGAACCTGTTAAGTCCAGTGATGACTGAATGTGCAATCATTATACTACTCTCTACTTTTTTCAAGGGTGAAAATGTCCATAATAAAAAGTTAGCCTTGTGGAAACCAGTTTAGCTCAGTGGATAGAGCATCGGCTTGTGAACTGAAAGGTCCCAGGTTTGATTCTGGTCAAGGGCATGTACCTTGGTTGCAGGCACATCCCCATTGGGGGTGTGCAAGAGGCAGCTGATGGATGTTTCCTCTCTCATCAATGTTTCTGGCTCTCTATCCCTTTCCCTTTCTCTTTGTGAAAAATCAATAATATATATATATATATATATATATATATATATATATATATATACACACACACACACATATATATATATAATTTTTTAAAGTCTTATCTGAAATCATGATTCTTAAATGTACATCTCCAGCCCAGAACTGTCCTTCAAATTCTAAACTCATGATACCACTATTGCTTGCCTGACATCTCCAATTGACTGTCAGAAAAATCTTAAATTAACTGTCCAAATTAAACATTCCCAATGGTCTCCAACCCCTATCTTAGTAAACAGTACACAGTCCACCCAGTTGATGGCTCTTTGTCTAGCCCAGGGGCACATCTATTAGCAAGCCAGATTAATGTGACTTAACCCAGACACAATCATGGTCGCCTCATGGACTCAACGCAACATTTTTCAATGAGTTCCACTCTTGCTTCTCAGCTTTTACTCTTGAACCCAGTTCAATTGTTCCTCTGCAGAGCAAAGTTTATTAGAATGTTAATCTGAGTGTTCCACTGCTCTGCCTGAAGCCCTTCAACAGCTTGGCCAGCACTTAGAAGTAAAACTTTAACATGGTCATAGTGTGTGTCCTATAGGATTGGGTTCTCCTAAGACTTTCTCAGTGCCTGGCTTGTTCCTTCAAGATAATTTTCATCAACTCTATTTATTGATGTTTAGAATTAAAACTTTAACATGACCATAGTGTCCTACAACATTGAGCTCTCTTAAGCTCAGCGTCTTGCTTGTTCCTTCATTAACTCTATTTATTGATGTTTATTCATATTTGTCACCCCTCTCACTAGAATGTGGGGCAGGGATCGTGTCTATTTTCTTCACCTGTGTTCGTATCCCACATCACACAGTCAAAATACTTGAAACAATGTTCAGGGTGGGCAAGGAACATCCCACATCCTTAAATCCTCTCCCACCTCAGAAGTTTCATCTTTAAAACACATAAAGGGGTGGGGCGGGGAAGGGAGGCCTTAAGAAGCCGAATCAGAGCATATACTACTACATAACAGTGTCTTGCTAATTTCACCAGCTGCCCACAAGGCTTGCAAGAATTAACAAAATTGCCAGGGGGCCAACCTGGAAGCATAAAATCTTTTTTAACTACTCTTCAATTCACCTGGTTCAAATCAAAACAAGAACACACGTTAAACTTGATGGAAGCCTAAAAAGTCAGATCTGACACGAAACTCAAGTCATAAATAAACCACAAAGGGACACGCCGACCTAAATTATTAAGGAAATAATCCAAAATCCTCAGGTGTCCCTATTTTAACGGAAAATGCTGCGATTTATGCATAGCACCTTCCACACTACCGAAAGTAGGGAAGAGAGATCATCAGATTATCAGGCTCAGATTCCCCCAAGGGATCTGCAATGCACAACCCAGAAATGGGCGGTCCGAGCGACAGGTCCACACGTGTGCAGGGAACTCCCGGGACCTCCCATCCCGCCGGGGCCCGCGCGGGGCCCTGGCTCCTCCCGCCGGCCATCCCGGCCCTCCCCCAGCAGCTTCGGGACCCGCGGGCACCCGACCTGTCCGACTCCGAGTCCGAGGTCTCCAGGGCGTCTGGGGTCGGCACCAGCTCCGCAGCGCCCGTCCCTCCACCGACGGCGGTGGCGGTGCTCGGCGCGAGTTCAGGCGGCCGAGCCCCGGCTGGTTGAGGTTCCGCGTCCAGCCCAGGGCCTGGGGCCCCCTCGCCCGACGGCGGCGGCGGCGGCGGCGGATCTGAGACGGGAACGGTGTCCGGGGACGGCGCTGCCTCACCTGGGCCACCCTCCAGGCCGATGCCGCCGAACTTCAGAGTCTCCAGCTGGGCGGCGGCGGCCTCCACCACTTCCATGGCCGCGTCGCCCCAGACGCCCCGGCCGGGCTACACGCTCGCGCTGGAACTAAAACAACCTCAAGCGCCGCCGAGAGAACCGGGCCAGGACCCCACTTCCCGCGTTCCTCCGGGAACCACGCGCCGGGTGACCCGGGGACACGCCCCCACCGTTTCCGCAGCCGCACTTCCGGGAGGGCGTCTGACGTCACGTGACGCGGCCGCGCGCTGGGGGCGGGGCCGAGCGCGGGAGCTTCTCGGAGTGGAGAACTTTGGGCGTCGCTGAGCTCGACCTTTTTTCTCTGCTGTTTGGAAGCTCTATGCAGCTCATACTGCGAGGTCAGATGGCCAGGCTCGCAGTCCTGTCGGTGGACCTGGGGCGATTCTCTTCGAAGCGAGAATGTCATTGTGGGAGGCTCTGTACTTCAGAAACTCGAGCCGAGAAATCCTGGACACTTAGGAAACTCCATAAAATGAAGTTAAAATGGGTTATTTTAGATAGCAAGCACATGGACCATTCACCTAAAAAAAAAAAAAAAAAAAAAAAAAAAAAAAAAAAAAATTACAATGATAGCTTTTTTTTTATTTCCTCTAAAGCAGCCTCCAAAGAAAGAATTCAGTAACGGTGGATAAAATGTTGCTGTTTACTATTGTCTTACCTGGTTGACACTGCTTGGTAAAAAGAGTGAGAAGAGATTGAAGTGTACTAACTTAGCTTGGAAAAAAAACATTACTCTCTAAATCATAAGAAAAACAAGCAAAAAATTCTTAGGGTTGAAGTAGGGGTCAGAATTTTATGGTTTCCTGTGGAACGTCAATTTGATGCATCAGTACCTCCCGTAGTAGTAATCATTGTTACCATTTAGTAAGCATGCATATGTGTCAAGGACTGCTAACGATTTTATCAATAACAGTCCTCTGGAAGGGGATCTATTCCAAGAACCCCCACGCCAACCCCTCCTCATATCAACTTCAGGAATGCTCAAGGCCCTTATATGAAATGACATAGTATTTGCATACAGCCTACACATATCCTCCTGTATACTAAAATTCATCTATAGGGTACTTGTAATCCTTAATACAATGTAAGTGCAATGTAAATAGTTGTTATACTGCATCATTTAAGGAATAATTACAAGAAAAAAAAAGTTTGTACATGTTCAGTGTAGACACAACCATCATAGGCCTAACTACATGGTATATGTCAGCAGCAATATAGCATTTTTTAAATATTTTCCATCCCAGTTCTTGGAATCTTTGGATACAGAACCTGTAGACACTGAGGGTCTGCTGTATTCAATGAGAATCTATTGTGCCCTTCACAGAAATTTAAAACAAGAGTGGTTTTAGGGAGCTTGCAATCTAATTGAAGTGAAAAGGTCAATGCACAGGAGATAACTAGAAAGATATCTGAAATGTGGAGTAGAAGATGCAAGTTCAGTAATAATAGGAAATTAAGTAAGATTGGTAGGCCGTATCATGGAAATCCTGTAAAGAGAAACAGGAATACTTCTCAATAATTCAGTGATTAAGCAGAGCTCAGTATCTCCAGCTAATAGAACTGTGATCAAATCTCAGCTCTGCGATTTCCTTGTTGGTGTAACTGTGATTGTGGGCAGGTGGCCTATTTTCCTTACCTGTAAAATGGAGATTAAAATACTATCTCGCTTAGTTCACATGAACATTAATTAAAGTTGTATACAACAGAAGGGCACATAACATACACATAATAAGTGTGTCAAAATACTTTATTATAAATAGAACAATGCATGACCTTATGAATAAAATAAGACTTCAATGACAATTTTCTTGCAGAGATATGCAGTATGAATTTGAATAGAAAATAAATTTGAGTCAGATTAACCTTTAGCCAGCCAAAAGTCCATTGCATTTTTTCAAAAATTAAGTGATGAAAGTCTGAACCTTGGCTAGAGTCAATGAAATAAAGGAAATAAATCCACAGCTTCAGAAGAATCATAGTACTCTAAATTTTCTAATCAAGGAAATTAGAAAGATGTTAATATTACAGAAAATATGAAATTGGAATGAGATAATGAGTTTGCAATGTTGAGTTTGAGGGAAAACTGGAGAGTCAGTTGGCAATGCCAATAGGCATTTGAGAATGGAATTTGATACATGAAGATGAGAAGCATAAGTTTGGAAATAATTCAAATGCTTATTTGTTCATTAGTAATCATTTGCTTACTAATGTGTGCTATGTACTGTACTATGAACTAGGCATACAGGAACTAACAATTTAGTACAAAAGTCAAGTGGGAAACAGATGATAAATACCTTATTAAGGAAATGTATTATAGTAGAAGCATGTACTATGGTAGTGGAAGGTACAAATGGAAACACTAAAGAGAAAAAGTATTGGTAAAGGAAGGCTTTACAATGGGTGATATTTGAACTATGCCTTTAAAGAGAAACATGAATTTCTTAATCTGTAAATGTAGGAAAATTTCATAGGGGATAATAAATAAGATCATGTTATTTTCTGTTTAAAACCATAAATACAAGAATATGTATACATACTTTAATAGCTGATAGCTCAATTGATGTTTCTCTTCAGCCAGACTAACCTTTGAACAAACAAAGGAAATTCACCCTAAAATACTACTGGAAGTTTGAAAACACAGTTGAAGTACAAATACTGCATTTAGGTATAATTATCCAAACTATATATATACATGAATTTTCGCTCCTTTTCAGGTTTAACAGATTTGAAGTAATGGGTGAAACCAGACTCAGCTTTGAACAAAGAAAATTTATCTTCTAGACTTTTTTATGGGAATACATAAATGATAACAACAGTTGACGAATTGGGAGTCCACAGGCACCTGGGACCCAGGCTGGCTTCGTCAGGAAGGACATCCAGAATAACATCTAGGAGATGTCCTGTCTAATTAGCATATTACCCTTTTATTATTATAGATTATTGACTAAAGATTTTTTTTAATAAAAAGAAAGGAAAACAAATAATAGATTTTTATAGAACAATCACAGTAAAGGGAAAATTATTTACAGATAAAGGTACAGCTGATGCCTAAGTTACTCATTCAATTTAAATGAATCTAATTATAGTTAAGAAAGGCTACTGATTTCCAATAAAAATCTCTATTGTTTTAGGATGGGATCATCTCTGTAATGCAGGATAAGAATAGCTGAATAGCAATACCTCTGCCTAGCTTTAAACTAGGTCACTATTTTGTGGTTGCTACTTTTTCTAAGTGTTTGGATGTATCAAAATGTCTTGAATTTACCCTACTTCCAGAGCCTGCCTGTCTGCTGCATTATTTATAACAGCTGCTAAACTTATCTTTAACCTAAGGTTAAATCCTAACACACACACACACACACACACACACACACACACACACACACACACACACCTTTGAAAGTATAAGAAATTTTTAGGATTATTATTAAAATTAAGAGTTTAATCATGAGGCTGGCCAGTGTCACTCAGTGGTTTAGAGTCAACCCATGCACCAAGAGATCTCCAGTTCAATTCCTGGTCAGGGCACATGCCCAGGTTGTGGGCTAGATCCCAATGGATTGATGTTGATTCTCTCCCATTGGTGTATCTATCTCTCCCTTCCTCTCTCTCTCTCTCTCTAAAATCAATAAAAACATTTTTTTAAAAAGCTTATCTTAAATTATGAATTAAAAGCAATATTATATTTCAAAGCTAACATGTAAAAAAAAATCTAAACATTCTTCAAAGTGCAAAAAAAGTTTATAAGAAGAAATTTATTTTAAGAAAGAACAGAATTTTGCAAGTTCTTAAAAAGATTGTGAAATTTTTCAAAAAAAAAAAATAAAATGCTAACCAACTCTTAGTGCCATTTTCACTGATTTGCAATGCCTTGCTACTCAGAAAAGGTGGTGCATCACTTGGAAACTTGTTAAAAATGTAGAAGATCAGGCCCTACCTTCTAAATCTGCATTTTAACAAGATTCCCTATGTGATTTGCTGCACATTAAAGTTTAAGAAACTCTGCCCTGGTGACTACATATGCGGAGGCTGGAAACATCCCCAGAATAGCATAGGGCTTGAAAGTAAAATGAGTGAAAGCCTTTTTTAAAGATACAGATGATATATCATAGAATTGCACACTTGAAACCTATATATTATTGACCAATGTCACCTCAATAAATCTAAATATGAATAAATAAATATTTTAAGAGAGAGAGGCATTACAGTGCTGGACAAGGCTAAGCTGCATAAACTGAATAGCTCATTGGATGCTCCATAAGTACGATATCCAAAAGTGATCTCAGCATCTTTTTCTCCATACTTATCTTTCTTTATCTCTTATGCTGGCATATCACCAATGTCTATCTAGTCACTATATACTAAGTGTCAGCCTCACTAATTTGCTGTGTGTGACTTAGATCACGTCCTATTCATTCACTTATTCATTCGATAAATATTTATCAAGCACAAACTTTGTGTCAGATGCCAGGCACTGGAAATAAAGTGGCAACAACAACAATGAAACGAAAAGGCTGTTAAAACCATCGAACTCAAAATATAAAATTTCTGTTTTAAATATGAATGGTCACCACAGTAGACCTTGATAGATCCTCCGAGTGCATCAGCCAATCAAGATGGGAGGGAGAGAATGGGGAAGTTGGGGAGATTGTCATGCCAGGTCTCATACATGTTAGATTGCAAGTAAGATTTCATTTGAAGAAAAGATTCAGTGGCAAAACAAAAAACAGCAAACCCACAAAAACAACAACAATAAAAAAAAACTCAGTAAGTTGAAACTTAAGATGTTTTCTGGAAATGACATTTTATAAAGTCTTTGTTTTTTGTTTCCAAAATTTAACTCAGGATTTTTTATAGATGACACACTGATTGATCTTAGTTTATTTCTGTGTTTTAAAAGACAAGAATATACACATGTGCAGTTCAGTTCTGTTAGAAGTCTATGATACCCTTCCTAAATAGAAATGAGATTTTCTAAGATTTGTCACATGATGACTAGAAATAGATCTGTGACTGATTA